TGATATATACTGACCATGCGATAACTCAACAGTGGTTTCCCTGTTGAGGTGATTAATAAGACGCTGAAAGAACCGTGTTGTTGTAGTTTGAATGGAGGGTGGCAAATAATCTACCTCTGTCAATGAATACAAACACGACTCGCGGTTACTGAACAAAAACTGCTCTGGACAAAATGTGTGAGTGCTAAGGTGTATCTGGGAGTGGATTTAAACACCTTGATTATAATTCCACAGTCTTTCGAAGAGGGTCCGCTTTGGTTCGACTCTGAGACGCATATAGGCAGGTTTACTATCCGGCAAAAATAAACATTATTTAAATGAGTGAGGGTGTTTAACCCAGGCCTTTTATTTTAAAAGCTCATTCAACTATACGCCCCAGTGTTCACTCAGCTATGCCCATACTTTTATTCAACTACGTTCTTGCATCCATTGGAGACTCCAAGCGTTCATTTAGCTACGTTCTTGCATCCATTGCAGGATCCAAGCGTTCATTTAACTACATTCATTCGAGGATCCAAGCGTTCATTCAACTGTCTCTATTCGAGGATCCAAGCGTTCATTCAGCTGTCTCTATTCGAGGATCCAAGCGTTCATTCAGCTGTCTCTATTCGAGGATCCAAGCGTTCATTCAGCTGTCTCTATTCGAGGATCCAAGTCTTCATTCAACTATATCTATTCGAGGATCCAAGTCTTCATTCACACACCCATTCAGCTACGTATACGCGTTCATTCAACTTATAAGATAAGAGATAAGATATAAGATAAGATCAAACTTTATTATCCCAAAGGAAATCCATATCGTACAGTTGATTAGCACTATAATATGAAAATAAGACACTATATGATATTAAAATATGAACATTAGATTTGTTTGTTTGTTGTTTAACGCCGCACTCAGCAATATTACAGCTATATGACGGCGGTCTGAAAAATAATCGAGTCTGGACAAGACAATCCAGTGATTGACATCATGAGCATCGATCCACTCAATTGGGATACGATGACATGCATCAACCAAGTCAGCGAGCCTGACCACCCGATCCCGTTAGTCGCCTCTTACGACAGGAGTAGTCGCCTTTTATGGTACATAAAAAATAAGACACCTACTTATGTAACCACGGGTAAAAACATGTTGAGATTTGAACACTATTACAGTGAATATACATATTTATATATACACACACGCACACGCGTTCATTCAACGGCATATATGCGTTCATTCACTGCATCTATGCGTTCATTCACTGCACCCATGCGTTCATGCAACTTCGCCCAGGCGTTCATTGAACTACATCCATGCGTTCATTCAACTACGCCCCTGAAATTCACCAAAACGTGCATACAACTTCGTTCATTCACTAGTTCCATGCGTTCATTCAACTTCGTCCATTTGTTCATTCAACTTTGGACCGCCTCCGTGGCCTAGTGGTAGAGCGTCCGATCCCCGGCCACGCCATACCAAGAGACCCTTAAAGATGGTACTTGATGTTACCCTGTCTGGCGCTCGGCATTAAGGGGCTAAAACAAGGACTGGTCGGCTCGGAGTCAGAATACTGTGTCTGAGTGAGGTATTTATGTTAAACTGCGGCATGGTATCTCAGTGGGCTAGCACTATAAATCGGCATCAGTCCAAGTGCAATAATCTTGGACGCGACGTTAACCCCCATACCCCATTTCACCTCACCTCACCTCATTCAACTTTGTCCATGCGCTCATTCAACAACAGCCATGCGCTCATTCAACTTGACAAATAAGCGGCCCCGTGAAGGTCAGGGTTAGAATTGTCTTCAGCAACCGTGACTAGCGGGTGATGCTCACTGGCTTGGTGATGCATGTCCAAATCGCGTAGATCGATGCTCATGATGTCAATCACTGCAGTGTCTGGTCCAGACTCAAGTATTTACAGTTGGTTGGTTGTTGTTAAACGCCGCACTCAGCAATATTCTAGCTATATGACGGCGGTCTGTAAATAATCGAGTCTGGATCAGACAATCCAGTGATTGACATCATGCGCGTCGATCTACGTAATTGGGATCGATGACATCAACCAAGTCAGTGAGCCTGACCACCCGATCCCGTTAGTCGCCTTTTACGACAAGCATTGTCGCCTTTTTACGGCATGCATGGGTTGCTGAAAACCTATTCTACCCCAGATCTTCACAGGTCCAAATATTTACAGACCACCAAAAATAGTAATGTTAGTGTTTTATAGTCTACGCCCTTTAAAAGTACAAAAAACGACTCTTCAGAAAATGTTGAAATGACCTAACACAAATAAAAAAAGGCTGAAGCATAGACATAATTTATGTGCATTTAATGAGTTTAATTCATTGTAAAGTTTTACTTAACGTATTTAGTAGCCTCGGTATGTAGGCAATTTGTCACAACATATTGTTGTCAGCACAACAGTGAGTGTCGCGAGGTGTTGAAGTCAGCTGTGTGCTGGCTATCAGTAACTTGCCAAAGAACGCCAGGCAGGTCTACAAATGAGAGCGTACACAACCTGGGAAGGGAAGGGAAGGGCTATGTAAAGAGAGGTATGCCCTTCAGAAAATTCAAGATACAAACAGGTAAGGTACCTATGCATGAGTTTTATGGTTTTTCAAACTTTAAACAATATTTATGTATAACTGATATTGATTATCTGATAGAGCTTTAATCCAAGAAGACGCATGAATGGCCCAGTCATCTAAAGTACCGCAATTCCATGTGTCTCATAGGTGAGGTGAGGTGAAATTGGGTTTAACGTCGCGTCCAAGATTATTGCACTTATATAGCGACGTGCATGCATGTGTGTGTGTGTGGCTGCTTGTACTAGTCCGGACTGATGCCGATTTAAAGTGCTAGCTCACTGAGATACAATGCCGCAGTTTAGCATGAATACCCCACTCAGACACAGTATAATGACTCCGAGCCGACCAGTCCTTGTTTTAGCCCCTTAATGCCGAGCGCCAGACAGGGTAACAACAAGTACCATCTTTTAACGTCTTTTGGTATGACGCGGTCGGGGATCGAACCCCGGACCTTCCGCTCTCCGGGCGGACGCTCTACCACTAGACCACGGAGGCGGTACATGTGTCTCATAGACACGCCAGACACCTATGATCGGGGTTCGAATGCCGATTCGCCCTGACTATGTTTCTAGATTAAGTTGTTTTGGTGGTTTAAGACCTGTATTAGAACCAGACCGACACCCGCAGCTCTAAGATCACTTTGAAGAAACTGTAACACCAGGATGCGCAATAACGAGGACTGGCTGTATCGTAATTAAATGACCTGTACGATGGCAAGAAACAAATGCTAATTCTTGTTCCTAACTATGCGACTAAACCAGGATGTTTTGGACTTTGACCTTTCATCCTCACATTGAAAGGAAAGATTTTCCTGCGCAGTATATGGCAGCTGTACTGCTTTGCGGTTGGTTGCTGGTTGGTTGCTGGTTGGTTGCTGGATGGTTTGTTGTTTAAAGCCACACTCAGCAATATTCAAGCTATATGACGGCGGTGTGTAAATAATCGAGTCTGGACCAGACAGTCCAGTGATTGACATCATGAGCATCGATCCACGCAATTGGGATCGATGACATGCATCTATCAAGTCAGCGAGCCTGACCACCCGATCCCGTTAGTCGCCTTTAACGGCAAGCATGAGTTGCTGAAGACCTATTCTACCCCGGATCTTCACGGGTCCCTGCTGTGCAGCGTAAGATAACTAACAAACTCTTACCGTTTTATGCAAATTGTGTGTAAGGATGGTTCTATCTGTACAGCAGGATATGCTTATCCTTTTCGCGAACACCTGATGTCTTCACTGATTTTCAGGGATCCCTTGACATAATATTTTTCACCACTATTTGCCTTATACGCCCAATGGAATCTGTTTCGACAGATAATCGAGACATTATATATTTTACAAGTGAGTACTTATAAACACTATATTCATGGAAGAGTTTGTTGTGTCTTAGAAACTAAATACAGTTAAACTCAGTTTATATGGACGTGACCCGTGAAGATCCGGGTTAGAATAGGTCCTCAGCAATCCATGTTTGCCCTAACAGGCGGCTATGCTTGTCGTAAGAGGCGACTAAGGGGATCGGTTGGTCAGGCTCTATGACTTGGTTAATGCATGTCATCGTATAGGTCCTCACCAATCCATGTTTGCCCTAAAAGGCGACTATGCTTGTCGTAAGTGGCGACTAAGGGGATCGGTTGGTCAGGCTCGCTGACTTGGTTGATGCATGTCATCGTATCCCCATTGCGTAGATCTGATGTCAATCACTGGATTGTCTGGTCCAAACTCGATTATTTACAGACCGCCGATATGTAGCTGGAATATTGCCGAGTGCGCCGTTAAACAACAAACAAACAAACATTATGTGGACGTAACTGTTCCGGGGTGACATCTTCCGGATGAAGAAATATCCAGATTTAACCAACCATAGTAACGGAAATAAAAGACTCACTTGAGTAGAATAATGTCCTGCGTAAATATGTACGACCGAAAGAAGGGTTTGGGATTAATAGGTTTTCAAATTTTATGTCAGTGATTATATCATTTGTAATTTAGCATGTTCTTGGGCCACCTGGATGGGTAGGGGGGTTGGAGGTTGGGGGGTTAGGGGTTCATGGATCATGTGTTGTATTAACTCTTTCTGACATGCGCAATGAGAGCCTGCTGCGCATTTATGTATGTACAAATTTTGGCCATTGAGAAACATATTTGACTTGACAGTCTTTCCAACTATAACTTTAATACATTGGCCTAGAAAGATGGTGAAGCTGGCGATAACATATTCAGCTTGATCAACTCTTCTGTTTTGGGGCGGGATTGGTCTAGTGGTTAAAGTGTTCGCTCATCACGCCGAAGGCCAGGGTTCGATTCTACACATCCCTCGCCGTGATATATTTGAATAACCCTCACTCACTCTTGATGTTACAGGGAAAGCGTCTTGAAATCCAAGCGATGTGGTCCAGTAACGTTAGTTAATAAATGACAGTGAGGTTGAAGAAACAAGCACTGCTAAATAAAGAAGAAATGGACGCATCAGCAGTTACTGAACTAAGCTCTTCATTACCATCTGTGAATGAGTTCAGTAAAGGAGAAACCAGTCTCAAAGAACAGACCAATGAGAAAACAGTTCTTATGAATCGAGGTGATTCTGACCAATCAGCAGACCCGTTACATGCCATCGATGCAACGTTCAGGATCCCCCTTTTGCGTGACCCCGTGAACCATGAAGATCCAACCAAGCGGAAAATTGACTTCAGCGTTCGAGTTGGCGCCTCTTTGGCGAGAACGGAAGAGAGTTATGTCAGGATTATCCAGCGGGAATTTGTTGATGCAGATTTATCCACTACGAGTTCAGACACAAGTGCAGATAATTATCCCCGAGTCTTTCAGAAGGACCGTCGCGTGAAAGTGTCGCCTCGTTTTGGAATTACGTCACTCAGACGGCGGAGGGATAGCCGTAAAGGGTCACTACAGATCATTCCGCCGAGGAGTTACATCACTGAAGAAACGGTAAGGGTCGCTTTAACATTGTTTCTATCACTGTCCAATTTAACTCTTAAGTGTTACAACAGAGGTATTATTTACTTCGTAGCCTGTCATACAGACCCTGATACAAATATATATCAAATACAGCCCATGCAAGTCTATAATGTATGGCAAGTATAGATTACTTCAGTATCTGAAAATGAAGAGAGTCTCTTGGCTCCCTTTTATTATATTTGTATTAAGATAATTGAACAACTGTTTTTTTCTGCACGATATGTTCATTTCAGAGACTAGATGTAAGTCAAATACAGACCCTGAAACAAAAATATCCAATAGAGCCAATGAATCTCAGATTTATATTGCAGTTTCTGAAAATGAAAATAGTCTCTGGGCTCCTTTTTATTACATTTCATAAAGATATGTTTTTCTGTAATCTGTTTGCATTTTAGAAAGTAGATGTAAGTCGATTATATTTTATGAATTGTGCAAATTGCGAGCCTGAAATATGTTATTTGTAGATATATAAAGATCTTATTTGAGTTACCCGCTGTTTTATGACATCAGCAAGCAATAACACAGCAATATGTTAGCAGCCTGGAAATAATCGACTGTTTCATCATTTTAGTTATTTCACGGCGCGTCAGCTTAATTTTTTGTTTGTTTGTTGTTTAACGCCGCACTCAGCAGTATTCCAGCTATAAGACGGCGGTTTGTAAATAATAGACATCATGACATCATCAGCATCCACACATACGATGACATGCATCAATCAAGTCAGCGAGCCTGACCACCCGATCCCGTTCGTCGCCTCATACGACCTTTTCGGCAAGCATGGGTTGTTGAAGACCTATTCTACCCCGGATCCTCACGGGTTCAGCTTAATGGGAGGCGAAAGCAGTGATACGGGTAAAGATTGACGTTTACCACTTTGATGAAACCCACGAACACATGTTTGCTGCTGGAAAACCTAGAAACATTCTGTGGACGAATCTGTGTGAGATTAAAACCTGCAATCATAGGTTTCTGGCACGCCTAAGGGACGCTACTCTTCACAGCGACTGGACCATCCATGTCCCCTGTAAGAAGATGAGTTTGGACCAAGGACAATAAAGAGGCACGGTCTCTTTCTGGTCCGAACAAACAAACGTTGACAGCACAGTTCACGTCGTTGATTTGCGTCCCTTTGTCGTACCAGAATCCGATAGCCGTTGTTAAAATACCAGATTCGCCCTTATTATGATTCTTGGTTAGGATTGGTTGGTCTGCTCGGTGACTGGATTGATTGCGTGTCATTGTACCCCGATATCGCGGGACTTTGCTCATCATATCAATCACTGGCCTGGCTGATCCAGACTAGATTATTACAAGCCCTCGTCATATAGCCTCAGTGTTGCTAAGTGCGACACAACAACAACAACAACAACAACATAAAAAAATTAAAATAATCAGAGACCGCGTTGAAAAGACCTATTTTTTTCGAACTATCTGTTCATGCAACATTCGAAATGTATACTATTTAATGTATAAGTGTTGGCGTTGTCCTAGGAATGTGTAAGAATTGTCTGAAGGCGAACTGAATGTTCTAACATTATACATCTACAGGCCATGGCTCGTTTCCAGCGTATAGGTCGGGCTGTCCAGATTATATCCGGCGTCTGTAACTCTCTCAAAAGGTAACTACACTTCTGCTCACAATTTCACCAGCGTGACCAACCTTTACGTGTCCTTGCAAACACTGCACTGCAGAATTGGTGCATAGTGTGTTTCTGGTGCAGCCATATTTTCCACTCATTTTTGCCATCTACCATATACATCGGCACCGTCATATCCATGGTGACCGCCTCCGTGGTCTAGTGGTAGAGAGTCCGCCCGGAGAGCGGAAGGTCCGGGGTTCGATCCCCGACCGCGTCATACCAAAAGACGTTAAAAGATGGTACTTGTTGTTACCCTGTCTGGCGCTCGGCATTAAGGGGCTAAAACAAGGTCTGGTCGTCTCGGAGTCAGTATACTGTGTCTGAGTGGGGTATTCGTGTTAAACTGCGGCATGGTATCTCAGTGAGCTAGCACTATAAATCGGCATCAGTCCGGACTAGTACAAGCACACACACACACACACACACACACACACACACACACACACACACACACGTGCACGCACGTCGCTATATAAGTGCAATAATCTTGGACGCGACGTTAAACCCTATTTCACCTCACCTCACCTTTGCCTTCTACCAAATACATCGGCGAAAAAGTGACCAAATACGTGCCGCTGGGGCAATTAGGTGCGTATTAGGTAGACTGGCACCCGAACAAAGCGAGCGGTCCCTGGGTATGATACAAATGGGAGCCATCCATGCCCACATTGAAAGTTTTGGTTGCTCCCGCGTTGCTGTAACAAACCTAATGTAACGTTACATACAGACATCAGACAGGCCAAGAACAGGCTGACCCAGGGTAACTACGCCCAATGAAGACCGGTACTTGCGTACTTTGCATCTCCGGAATCGATTCCTAACAGTGACGTCATCAGCGACGAATGTCTTAGGGCATGTGGTTAGTCGACAGACAGTGGCCAGGCGACTCAGGGCTCAAGGATTTGGAGCTTATAGACCTTACAGAGGACAGTTATTGACAGCACAGCATCGTCGTCAGAGATTGAGATGGGACCTGGGCTGTACGTCGTTTTCAGCAACGTGAGTGGTAGAGGGTTGTCGTCACTGATAAAAGCCGGTTCAGAGCTGATGGAAGACAGCGTATTTACCGTTGCGTTCTGGAAGATCGTGCCGTTTGGTGGAGGGGGGTGTTATGTTGTGGGAGGAATTTGTGGGTAGAGGAGAACACCACTAATAATCGTTAACGGAAATTTGACAGCTCAGCATAACATGGATGACATTCTCCGATTGTCCTACCATTTCTACAACAGCTACCATGCACGTGGTGTTCTATGAGCAGGACAACTCAAGACCCCACACAGCCAGAATCATCGTACAGAACGCCCTAGTCTGTCACACAGACCCTGAAACTAACATATCCAATAAAACCCATGCAAGTCTATAATGTTTGGCAAGTCTAGATTACCTTTACTATGATAAAGCTTCTTTTGGCCGTCGGTTTACAAAGGTTGAGTATGGTAAGACCTGAAATTCATCTACAACATCAATTCGCTTGTTTCTAGGTTTGTCAGCACCATACCCATGCTCGTGGGTTTCACCGAAGTGGCAAACGTCTGAGACCTGCATCACTTCGGGCTTTCCTCCCACATTAAGCTGACACGCCGCGATATAACTGGAATACTGTTAAAAGCGTTGTGAAACCAAACTCACTCACTCACTCTACAACATCAAGGTTCGGAAACAATGTAGTTCTCGATTTTGCTATAGCAAAAGAACGACCGACTTATGTCCAAATCAGTCCCGTCAAAGGTCACTTCACACGTCAGCATGGCCTTCCATCAGTAAATGATTTCCCGAATAAAATAAACATGGTGTCTTAATCTGACACAAGGCACTAATAACAGTGTCTAGATATGGGTAGGGGGCACGGGCGCCCCAGTCGTCTAAGGCGCCGCGATTCGCTGTGCAGAGTTGCGTCCCTTGGGCACGCCAGAAACCTATGATTGTGGGTTCGAATCCCGGTTCGCCCCGATTATGTTTCTAGGTTTGTCAGCACCATACCCGTGCTCGTGGGCTTCACCGAAGTGGTAAACGTCTGAGACCTGCATCACTTCGGGCTTTCCTCCCACATTAAGCTGACACGCCGTGATATAACTGGAATATTGTTAAAAGCAGCGTTAAACCCAACTCACCCACTCACTCACTCACTAGATATGGGTAGTAATGGGCACCAGACCGTGAAATTTAGTACTCAACAGTGCGAAATCAAGTCCTCTAGAAGCACTCGTTGAATCATGTAACAGGTCAAAATGCTGGGGACAGGTCAAGAAACCCGTTGAAATTGGAGCCTCGTATCCGATTGTACACAGTATTTTTTGGAGTCATATTATGACGTAATTGCGATCTGCTTCTGTTTCTGTGTCCAGACACGTGGCTGAAAATGACACTCGCACGTGGTCATCGGTGGAGATGTACTTGCACGTGCAGGATGACCTCAACAAGAAGTTGGCCTTCAACCCTCTCAACTTTACCATGGTGGCACCGGTGAGATGCGGCTTAACATCACACACACGGGTAACACAAGGGTAACTAGGTGGTCACGTGAGCATGGAAACACCCCCCCCCCCCCTTTGTATCCGCCCATGCATAGTCATGAGTAACACACGGGTAACATGCGTAGGTAACAGGGTAACATGGGGACATTACATGAGCGACACAGAGGTAACAAATCCACGGGTAACATAGGGGCAATATACACGGGCTACACATGGGTAACATACATAGCGTCACAGGGGCAACATATGCAGGTAACAGAGGGGCAATATACACGGGTAACTCACGGATCCAGGTAATATACATGTAACATACAGGATCCACTGATGCCATGAATCTGTGAGTGAGTGAGTGAGTTGAGTTTACACCGCTTTTAACAGTATTGCAGTTATATCACGGCGTGTCAGCTTAATGGGAGAGGAAAAACCGAACTGATGCAGGTCTCAGACGTTTACCACTTCGGTGAAACCCACGAGCACGGGTTTTGTGCTGACAAACCTAGAAACATAATCGGGGCGAACCGGGATTCGAACCCACAATGATATGTTTCTGGCGTGCCCAAGGGATGCAACTCTGCACAGCGAATCGCGGCGCCTTAGACGACTGGGCCACCCGTGCCCCGAATCTGTGAGAATCAGGCAACAGTGATGTCATCTACGGATAACATACAGATAACAGTGATATAATCTACGGATAACATACATGTAACAGTGATGGTATTACGAGTAACATACATGTAACAGTGAAAGTATTACGAGTAACATACATGTAACAGTGAAGGTATTACGAGTAACATACATGCAACAGTGAAGAGATTACGAGTAACATACATGCAACAGTGAAGGTATTAGGAGTAACATACATGTAACAGTGAATGTATTACGGGTAACATACATGTAACAGTGATGGTATTACGAGTAACATACATGTAACAGTGATGGTATTACGAGTAACATACATGTAACAGTGAAGGTATTAGGAGTAACATACATGTAACAGAGAAGGTATTACGAGTAACATTCATGTAACAGTGAAGGTATTACGAGTAACATACATGTAACAGTGAAGGTATTACGAGTAACATACATGTAACAGTGAGGTATTACGAGTAACATACATGTAACAGTGAGGTATTACGAGTAACATACATGTAACAGTGAAGGTATTACGGGTAACATACATGTAACAGTGATGGTATTACGAGTAACATACATGTAACAGTGAAGGTATTACGAGTAACATACATGTAACAGTGATGGTATTACGAGTAACATACATGTAACAGTGAAGGTATTAGGAGTAACATACATGTAACAGAGAAGGTATTACGAGTAACATTCATGTAACAGTGAAGGTATTACGAGTAACATACATGTAACAGTGAAGGTATTACGAGTAACATACATGTAACAGTGAGGTATTACGAGTAACATACATGTAACAGTGAATGTATTACGAGTTACATACATGCAACAGTGAAGGTATTAGGAGTAACATACATGTAACAGTGAAGGTATTACGAGTAACATTCATGTAACAGTGAAGGTATTAGGAGTAACATACATGCAACAGTGAGGTATTACGAGTAACATACATGTAACAGTGAATGTATTACGAGTAACATTCATGTAACAGTGAAGGTATTACGAGTAACATACATGTAACAGTGAAGGTATTAGGAGTAACATACATGTAACAGTGAAGGTATTAGGAGTAACATACATGTAACAGTGAAAGTATTACGGGTAACATACATGTAACAGTGAAGGTATTACGAGTAACATACATGTAACAGTGAAGGTATTAGGAGTAACATACATGTAACAGTGAAGGTATTAGGAGTAACATACATGTAACAGTGAATGTATTACGAGTAACATACATGTAACAGTGAAGGTATTACGTGTAACATACATGTAACAGTGAATGTATTACGAGTTACATACATGCAACAGTGAAGGTATTACGAGTAACATACATGTAACAGTGAATGTATTACGAGTAACATTCATGCAACAGTGAAGGTATTACGAGTAACATACATGTAACAGTGAAGGTATTACGAGTAACATTCATGCAACAGTGAATGTATTACGAGTAACATTCATGCAACAGTGAAGGTATTACGAGTAACATACATGTAACAGTGAAGGTATTACGAGTAACATACATGTAACAGTGAAGGTATTAGGAGTACCACAGGTAACAGTGATGGCATGTATGGGTCCCATAAGTATAGCAAACAGACAACAATGGTGACATGGGTAACTGACATATCAAGGTCCCCGTGGAGATCCGAGTTAAATGAGGTCTTCAGCAACCCATGCTTGCTGTAACAGGCGACTATGCTTGTCATAAGATGCGACTATCGAGAGCGGGTGGTCAGGCTCGGTGACTTGGTTGATGTATGTCATCGTATCCCAAAAGCGTGGATCGATGCTCATGATGTCAATGACTGGATTGTCTGGTACAGACTCGATGTTTTACAGACCGCCGTCACATAGCTGGAATATTCCTATGTGCGGCGTTAAACAACAACAACAACAACAACAACAACAACCAAACATATACAAGTGGTAACATATACACGGGTATCATGTTAAAGCAGTGTGTTAGCCATGAGTTTCTTCTGTAGAATTTTCGCTTTATATTGAGTACCACGATGGTATCTATTCTAATGAATAACTTATAGATACTTTATATAAGAACGTAACTGTTTCTGCAGATTGTTGTTGTTTCAGCCACGGAAGGGGGAGAGGTTAGAACATCTCTTACAAACACCACCCTCGGAGAGGACTGCAAAGGATATCAAAATGGTAAGACATGTATCTAGGTATACATCAGAGACCCAAGACCCACTTGTCATAAGAGTGAATGAATGAATTTAGTTTTAAGCCGCCTTATCGGGGACACCGGAAATAGGCTTCACGTATTGTGGAGGGAATCGAACCTGGACTTTTGGAGTGACGGGCAAACGCTTTAACCACAATGCCACCCCGACGCTCGTAAGAGCTGGAGATCAGCGTATCGTTGTGAAAAAGAATCTTATGTGAGCGACGACTCTCATACCTTTATGTAGACTTTCGATCTCATAGCGCCAGGGTTGTATTGTACACCGGCACCCTGATGTTAAAATGGCTGCTGTGTATAAATTCTTCTTGTATTATTGACCATGGCGCCGTTGTACAGAACAACCTTAGCGCTACGACTGTCGTAAGTCTAGTTAAAGGTGTGGTGGTTACGATCACCTTAAGACTAGGATCGCTTTGTACAACGGCACCCATCAGAGATAAACACGTGGTGCATGTATTGTAGAGTCGCAAATCGTCACTCAATTATCGTCCATGCACTAAAACATGTTGCCTTGTCCAAGCCCGACTACACTGTAATTAAGCTGTATTGTCATATACAGGTAACACTGCCGTCTACAATGCAAACTCAGGCTCACTTCCTCACTCACATCGATACGCAGTTATCATGTAATTTTATTACATTTTAGAAAAATAAAACCCCCAATTATATTTAATATTTTAGAGTGGAAACGAAACCTTGAAAATTCAAGCTTTTCTTTTATTTCCTAATTTCACTGAGAATATCTAACAAATTTTATTTTGCCGCTGGACTAGTTATCATTTTCCGTGTTTACCACGATATGTGTGTACCAGGATGAAATTAATATCAATATCAGTAATAATTTAATATATTGATATATAGATTTTGTTATTCTTCAGATTCTGGCGTACATCCGAGGCCACGCATCCATTCATGATTATCCCGCTGATGTGCAAATACACATGTGCAAATGTATGTTATACCAGAAGTAAGTATTAGTGGTCAATAAAAATTACTGTACATGGATATAATTCATAAATCTGTGATAAGTGCATAACACAGGGATTCCATGGCTGATCGGATCTTTTAAGACGTGTGACCAATCACGGCGTTTCATAACTTTCCCGGAAGTGATATGGGAAGGGAAGTAACTCGTACGCGCATCAATCGATAATTCGACTGTTACCTAAATGTAGAGGTAGCGTTTGTTTTGTAGGGTCAATCAATTACGTTTATATACTACACATCTAACCTACAAGGTATCTGCCGGTTGTTTAGACATGTAGATATAACTGGTGATTGTAAATGCGTTTTATTTAGCCAAATCGACATAAAAATGGCGGCAAGTTCATGTATTCACACACCGTCCACGACATGTTATAACAGTTCTGATTGGATGAAACATTTGCTATTTTATTGCGCGTCATTCTATTTTTAGCAACGGAGGGGTTACCCTTGTCTTATCGGGAGGTAACTGGCGGTGTGAGTGCACCTAGCCAGTGTGTGAGAATTCTCGTCATATTTAATTCCGTTTTGTCTCACAAACAATTTGAGCACAAACTATACCATCACATGAGACATATGACAGGTATATCAGTAGATATAAACAGAACAACTGTCCAGTCATTCGTCTATGACCTGATAGCCTTTCGGCCGCACTACTACAGGAGATCACAATGATCTGTTGCCTGGTTCAAAATAAGAAACAGTGCGAGTGCAGTATTCTGAGTGATCTCCATATTCGGAAACACGACTGATAAACCTGTTGTAACATCAACCTGTAGTAACAGCAACCTATTGTTCGCACGTCCTCATTTCGTAGAATAACCTTTTAGCAGCGACTTTCTCCAGAATATCCCTCTATCCCGGTGATAATCTATAGAAAGTCTCCCTGTCTCAAGAATATTCTATAGAACGTCCCTCTGTCCCATGGATTTTGTATAAAATGTCCCTCGCTGCAGATTATTTTGCATGTGATCACAAACAGCATTAGGAAAGGCATGTGCGGAATGGTGTGAAATCAAACAAGTGTCTTCTACATATTTAAATAGAGAACTCGGAACCTTCGTATCTGTAGCCTAGTGACACAACCAGTTGCCCCACAGGCGCTGATAAACCATAAACTATTTTCTGCCCAAGAACATGCATGTACGCCAAGAAGAAATATTATACGTCCGCTTCCTAAGGTTAATGGTATGAATGCTTGAAACACAAAATTGATGATAAATGCTGTTTATTTTTTTCGTTCGGTTTATGGATAAAAAGCCCGACCTCTCCCCTTTGGCTCTCCCCATTTTCCCTCCTTCCCCAGGCTTACATTCTCAGTCAAGAACAAAGGAGGTTTTTATCCTTTGCATGCAACCCAAGAACTGAAATGTCTCAACTGGCGCCAAGTCAAGGAAAGAATAGCCTTCAATCTACTTGTGTTGGATTTGGAAGGCACTTCATGGGGTAGCTCCGTGTCGCGCCCGGGAGGTCATAAAGCGCTTCCAACTAATACAGGCCAAGAGTAGAGGCATAGCATGGATTACTTTTATCTAAAGAAGGGGGATTCGCATTTACTGTTAACTTTAGTGGGAGTTGGGATGATAAAGCACCATGAGATAAGTTACCATAATATACTCGTTACATCATCATCAGCGTCATCGTCGTCATTATCACCATAATTATCGTCATCATCATCATCACCACCAATTCAAGTCCGTTTATTTTCGTAAGTGTAGGCCATCGGCCAATAGTTACATTTGTATTACAACAGACGTGATGTACACAGCTGTTATTATTGTGACAATAATGTACTACGAAGTGACATCGCTTGATAGATATACATAGCTAGACGTTCAATTAATTTACAATCATCACCACCACCACCACCATCATCATCATCATCATCATCGCCGCCGCCGCCGCCGTCGTCGTCGTCGTCATCATCATCATCATCATCATCATCATCATCATCAGTCATTCTGATTGAATCCCATGTTCCCAGATACGAAGATAGACGCATCCTCTTGAAACAGGGGCATCCTCCCTCCGCCTTCTACTTCATCCTCACAGGCTCGCTCATCGTCAACATCGAAGACATCAACCCCAACAACGGCAAGAAGTTCACCAGGACGGTGTCAGAACTTACAGCAGGAGACTGTTTTGGGGTATTTACATCTTCCTTCGTCTCCGTGTCTGTGGGGATTCCGGTCACAATAGGCCCTAAGCACCTCATGTTTGTCGTAACAGGGGCGGGGTGGGGTAGCCTAGTGGATTAAGCGTTCGCTCGTCACGCCGCAAACCCGGGTTCGATTCCCCACATGGGTACAATGTGTGAAGCTCATTTCTGGTGTCCCCCACCGTGATATTGCTGGAACATTGTTAACGCGGCGTATAACCATACTCACTCACTCACTGACTTGTAACAGGCGACTTACAAGGGAATCAGGTGGTCAGGCTTTGTGACTAATTGCGAGCCAATGGAGCTCGTGTGTCCAGGGCCCACTTGCACAAAGCGATCTTAGCGCTAAGATGATCGTAACTCCCATACTTTAACATAGGCTTACAATAGTCTTAGCTAAGATCGCTTTGTGCAAGTTGGCCCAGGACACACGAGCTCCATCTTAGTCGGCGATCTGAGAGAGACAAACTTGCACAAAGCGATCTTAGCGCTAAGACGATCGTAAGCCTGTGTTAAAGTATGGGAGTTACGATCATCTTAGCGCTAAGATCGCTTTATGCAAGTGGGCCCAGGACTTGCTGACCACGAATAACCATAACCCGACTGTGAGGACCTTTGTTAATAATTTCAAGCATGGTGTGAAAGCATGCTAGCTGCAAAAGGCGACTATGCTTGTCGTAAGAGGCCACTAACGGGATCGGGTGGTCAGGCCCGCTGAGATTGGGCCAGAAACGTCGCAGTGAGCAGTATTCCAGCTATGTAACGGCGGTCTGTAAATAATCGAGTCTGGACTAGACAATGCTTTGACTGACATCATGAGCATCGATCCACGCAATTGGGATACGATGACATGCACCAACCAAGTCAGCGAGCCTGACAACACGATTCCGTTAGTTACCTCTTACGACAAGCACAGTCGCCTTTCACGACAAGCATGGGTTGCTGAAGACCTATTCTACGCCGGATCTCCACGGGTCAACAACAGCCTACAACCCAATGCACCAGGGGGCACGGGTGGCCCAGTCGTCTAAGGCGCCGCTATTCCCTGTGCAGAGTTGCGTCCCTTGGGCACGCCAGAAACCTGTGATTCTAATCCCGGTTCGCCCCGATTACGTTTCTAGGTTTGTCAGCACCATACCCGTGCTCGTGGGTTTCACCGCAGGTAAAGGTCTGAGGCCTGCATCACTTCGGGCTTTCCTCCCACATTAAGCTGACACGCCATGATGTAACTGGAATACTAAAAGCGGCGTTAAACCCAACTCACTCACCCAATGCACCAACTCACTCACTCACTCACTACAGTGTTCTGCTACTTGCTCAAACCCCTTGACTTGCAGGAACTGGCTCTGTTGGAGAGAAGCACCCGTACGGCGACCGTCATATGCAAGACGACCGTGGAACTGCTGGTCGTGCTCAAAGAGGTAGGGTTATTATACCCCGCCACGAAGTGGAAGGGGGATATAGGAATGGGTGCTGTCCGTCCTTTTGTCTGTCACGTTTCGTTTCCGGAGCAGAACTGAGATAATTATCTTAACCAAACTTGGCACATAGATAGGTCTGGTGGTGAACTGGCGCCTTTTGATAGTTTTGGATTTAAATTTTTTTTTTTTTTGAGTTTCCATGGCAACGACTTTAGCCCAGTTCACATGCACAACATTTACTAACGTAAGTAATTTTGCACACGTGTAACTATACATACGTGTGTATATGTAAATTTACTATGCGTTCACATGAAAATCAACTTAAGTGTGTAAATAAAGTATGTAAATTGTGTAAGGCACACATATTCGTCAGTCTGTTTACGACTTTCAACACAAATCAGGTTTTTTTCCAATCAAAGTTGAATGAGAAGAGCGTTACTTCACCGAAACATTTCGCGTGAAGCAACATGTGTTTGATTTATACACAAAGTTTTGACTCCTTGAAACCAAAAGAAAACACCGTCCGCTCAACTCTGTTTATACGCATAAAAGTTGGCAAAAGAACAGATATTCATAAGATCATCCTCTTACGATAATATAAACGTTCACATTGCAACATATACACACAGTACAAATTTACATTTACATTTGCACCTGCTCCGGACATGATGCAAATTTGCTCCTGGTGTAAAATTACACACATGAGTAAACGCGTTCACATGACAAGTATACTCACGTATGTATTTCTACACACGTACGCACATACACACACATATGTATAGAGGCGCATGTGAACGGGGTATTTGACTTGGACTGAAAATGGCGGTATTGGCGGGGGAGATGTGTATTTCATGCTTGTTGACTGTTGAAACAAGGTAGGACCACATAGTAATGCTGTATACGCTTTCTGCTGCGTGATGTAGATTAGCAGGGGTAACTATGGAGCACTATAGTAATACGCGACAGTTGATAAATAGAAATGATTGTAGGAACAGGTGTGATACTGATTTTACGAAACGAGTATCAGAATTGTTGCATTTCCCGAGCAAGACCGAGTGTAATACATACATTCTCTTACACCAGTTTCCTTTACATTTTTTTATATCCTGCAGTTTGAAAAACTGGGTTTTCTGAAGTTAATAAAAGTGATATTGTCATTGCAGTGAAAACAACACTTGATATTTCAATGCAATGAACACAACACTTGATATTGTCATTGCAGTGAACACAACACATGATATTGTCATTGCAGTGAACACAACACTTGATATTTCAATGCAGTGAACACAACACTTGATATTTCAATGCAGTGAACACAACACTTGATATTGTCATTGCAATGAACACAACACTTGATATTGTCATTGCAGTGAACATAACACTTGATATTTCAATGCAATGAACACAACACTTGATATTGTCATTGCAGTGAACACAACACATGATATTTCAATGCAGTGAACATAACACTTGATATTTCAATGCAGTGAACACAACACTTGATATTGTCATTGCAGTGAACATAACACTTGATATTTCAATGCAGTGAACATAACACTTGATATTTCAATGCAGTGGACACAACACTTGATGTTGTCAATGCAGTGAACATAACACTTGATATTTCAATGCAGTGAACATAACACTTGATATATCAATGCAATGAACACAACACTTGATATTGTCATTGCAGTGAACACAACACATGATATTGTCATTGCAGTGAACACAAAACTTGATATTTCAATGCAGTGAACACAACACTTGATATTGTCATCGCAGTAAACACAACACTTGATATTTCACTGCAGTTAACACAACACTTGATATTTCAATGCAGTGAACACAACACATGATATTGTCATTGCAGTGAACACAAAACTTGATATTTCAATGCAGTGAACACAACACTTGATATTGTCATCGCAGTAAACACAACACTTGATATTTCACTGCAGTTAACACAACACTTGATATTTCAATGCAGTGAACACAACACTTGATATTTCAATGCAGTTAACACAACACTTGATATTTCAATGCAGTTAACACAACACTTGATATTTCACTGCAGTTAACACAACACTTGATATTTCAATGCAGTGAACACAACACTTGATATTTCAATGCAGTGAACACAACACTTGATATTTCAATGCAGTGAACACAACACTTGATGTTTCATTGCAGTGAACACAACATTTGATATTTCAATGCAGTTAACACAACACTTGATATTCCAATGCAGTGAACACAACACTTGATGTTTCATTGCAGTGAACATAACACTTGATATTTCAATGCAGTGAACACAACACTTGATATTCCAATGCAGTGAACACAACATTTGATATTTCAATGCAGTTAACACAATACTTGATATTTCAATGCAGTGAACACAACACTTGATGTGTCATTGCAGTGAACATAACACTTGATATTTCAATGCAGTAAACACACAACTTTAAATATTGTCATTGCAGTGAACACAACACATGATATTGTCATTGCAGTGAACACAACACATGATATTGTCATTGCAGTGAACATAACACTTGATATTTCAATGCAGTGAACACAACACTTGATATTGTCATCGCAGTGAACACAACACATGATATTGTCATTGCAGTGAACATAACACTTGATATTTCAATGCAATGAACACAACACTTGATATTGTCATTGCAGTGAACACAACACATGATATTGTCATTGCAGTGAACATAACACTTGATATTTCAATGCAATGAACACAACACTTGATATTGTCATTGCAGTGAACACAACACATGATATTGTCATTGCAGTGAACATAACACTTGATATTTCAATGCAGTGAACACAACACTTGATATTGTCATTGCAGTGAACACAACACTTGATATTTCAATATAGTGAACACAACACTTGATATTTCAATGCAGTTAACACAACACTTGATAGTTCAATGCAGTTAACACAACACTTGATATTTCAATGCAGTTAACACAACACTTGATATTTCAATGCAGTGAACACAACACTTGATGTTTCATTGCAGTGAACACAACATTTGATATTTCAATGCAGTTAACACAACACTTGATATTCCAATGCAGTGAACACAACACTTGATGTTTCATTGCAGTGAACATAACACTTGATATTTCAATGCAGTGAACACAACACTTGATATTCCAATGCAGTGAACACAACATTTGATATTTCAATGCAGTTAACACAATACTTGATATTTCAATGCAGTGAACACAACACTTGATGTGTCATTGCAGTGAACATAACACTTGATATTTCAATGCAGTAAACACACAACTTTAAATATTGTCATTGCAGTGAACACAACACATGATATTGTCATTGCAGTGAACACAAAACTTGATATTTCAGTGAACATAACACTTGATATTTCAATGCAATGAACACAACACTTGATATTGTCATTGCAGTGAACACAACACTTGATATTTCAATATAGTGAACACAACATTTGATATTTCACTGCAGTTAACACAACACTTGATAGTTCAATGCAGTGAACACAACACTTGATGTTTCATTGCAGTGAACACAACATTTGATATTTCAATGCAGTTAACACAACACTTGATATTTCAATGCAGTGAACACAACACTTGATGTTTCATTGCAGTGAACATAACACTTGATATTTCAATGCAGTGAACACAACACTTGATATTCCAATGCAGTGAACACAACACTTGATATTTCACTGTAGTGAACACAACACTTGATATTTCAATGCAGTTAACACAATACTTGATATTTCAATGCAGTTAACACAATACTTGATGTGTCATTGCAGTGAACATAACACTTGATATTTCAATGCAGTAAACACAATACTTGATATTTCAATGCAGTGAACACAACACTTGATGTGTCATTGCAGTGAACATAACACTTGATATTTCAATGCAGTTAACACAATACTTGATATTTCAATGCAGTGAACACAACACTTGATGTGTCATTGCAGTGAACATAACACTTGATATTTCAATGCAGTAAACACACAACTTTAAATATTGTCATTGCAGTGAACACAACACATGATATTGTCATTGCAGTGAACACAAAACTTGATATTTCAGTGAACATAACACTTGATATTTCAATGCAATGAACACAACACTTGATATTTCAATGCAATGAACACAACACTTGATATTGTCATTGCAGTGAACATAACACTTGATATTGTCATTGCAGTGAACACAACACTTGATATTGTCATTGCAGTGAACATAACACTTGATATTTCAATGCAATGAACACAACACTTGATATTGTCATTGCAGTGAACATAACACTTGATATTTCAATGCAGTTAACACAACACTTGATATTGTCATTGCAGTGAACATAACACTTGATATTGTCATTGCAGTGAACACAACACATGATATTGTCAATGCAGTAAACACAACACTTGATAGTTCAATGCAGTGAACACAACACTTGATATTGTCAATGCAGTAAACACAACACTTTATATTGTCATCGCAGTAAACACAACACTTGATAGTTCAATGCAGTGAACATAACTGCAGTGATGATCGCACGTTGACGGTATTATTGTCTTACAAGAGTTACCTCCCTTTATCTTTAGTGTCCAAGCTCCTCCCAGCTCGTACCGCCTTCGTTACACTACCGGTCCCTCCAGAGACAGTTGCAATGGATCAGGAGTTCGATCGATACTCGTTAAATAAATTAATATCTTTGTGTCACCAATATAATACACTGAATTATTTATTAGTCTTTTGTTTGTTATGATAGTTTTTTATACCAATGCTGAAAGGCCACAGGCTCCTGCGAAGAGGCTGCACACAAAGATTACTTTCTAACTGATATTGATAAGTTACAAACAATATTTGTATTGACTAACTGTAGAATATTTTATGATATATTATATAAGGTATCCAACAATATGATATCCCAAAAATACATTCAAAGATGGGAACGATATCTTGGCCTTAACATGACGGAAAAAGATTGGCAAACGATTAATCGTAGCCCCCACAGATATAACGTGTCCTCAAAACAAAAATGGTACCAATACCGTATTATTCAAAGAAGTATACCAACAAACGAGATACTGTACAAAATGTGATACAAAGAATCATTTCTTTGCTATTTTTGTAAACAAACCTTAGTGCGCATGTTCTGTGAGTGTGAAATTGTATAACATGTCTGGAACAAATTTGCAAAATGGATCAAAGACAAAACTGGAATAGAACTAGAATTTTCACAATTGAAAATTCATTAGGATATTAACAAAAACAAAACGATGTATTAAATCATACTATAAATGTAACAAAGTAAAACATATTCAAATCAACACATTTCCGAATCGATACCAAATTTACAACACATAAAACAAGAAATAACCGATTCATAATACATCGATAGAAATATATGATATTCACAATGTAAATACACACAGTTCATGAAGTGGTGGTCACTCTGTCACCACCTATTCGTATAGACCCACGAACTTGCACAATCCAACAAAGATGTCTTAGCATCCTGACACTGGAATGGTTTTGTTTGTTATTATCCATAGATATAATTTGTAACTTGTATGTATTTAAGATTGCATGTAAACTATATTCTGTAAACTTATTGTTTGTGTACTCCAAAAAGAAATAAAATCATAAAAAAAATATTTGTATTGACTAACTTCATCAAAGAAACAAAAGTATGTATATTTGGATGAAATAAATAGTAAAGGTTTTTCATGTTGATATATTTAGTACATACTTATAAAAAGTGATATTCATCCTCCATTGAATTTAGATGAGATTGCGAACACAATCTCTGATTTCTTGATATATCATTGTGCCTCACTAGTTCAATCATTAATCTATATGAACTTTGAGGCTTTCAAGCCCGGTACACAAGGCAGGTCGGTTCTTATTAGAAGTCAAGCCGTATATCTTTCGTGTCTGTTTGGATGACTTATTTAATAAAATTTATGGTATTAATATGTTTATGTCAGATTTTATGTTTTAAAATACCCGCCCCGCCCCTTATAAAATGCTTAGCTTATTTATATCAGAATCTTAACCTATTCGTGACCAACTCGTGTTATTCCGGGACAAGCCGAATAGCGACTCCTGCCCCTCTCGTGGCCATTTTTGAAACCGGTTTCCGTCTTAGCGCAAACGGGCATACCTAAAACAATTGTCAACTCGTTGCGCAATTGTTCACATATATTTCCCTATATATTATCTATATTTCAGATGCAATTTAAAGCACGTCAGGACATGCGGATTTATACAGTATGATTGAACACATTTAACTGTGTCTTGGGTATATTTTTAGATGCAAGACATGTAAAAACAGAAATTATTTCTGAGGGATTCTTTGACGAAGAACTTGAAATCATACGCGCATTCTGATTGGTTTGTCGTATTTTCGCACATAACATTCATCGATAGGGGGACGAGTCATCTTGCAGGTTACGGAAAGGGGCGAGTGGTGACGAATGAATCTTAACCCTGGGCCCTACTCTTTATGCTCGAGAGTTCGAATCCCAGTTTTCCCCGATTATATTTCTATGTTAAGTCTGGGAACTGCATCACTTCGGGATATCCTCCCACAGTAAGCTGACGCGCTATGATATAACTCGAATACTGTTCAAATCGGCGTAAAACCCAACTCACTCAATCTTCATAAAGTCCGGCATTTGATTGAACGAATACGGTAATATCAGACCAACGTAGGCACGCCATGCCATAACCGAATAATAATACACGTAATGCTCGTTTTGTAATGATAAATGGCAGTTCTAGATTTGTAATTCATTATCACTTCAAGGTGAGCAATTTTAAAGGAAAATAATTAAAACGAAATATTGTAAAAAAAGGATTTCAATTGATAGCATGTCTTGATATATTTCAGGATTTCGACATTATTATCCGCCAGCCTTTAATTCGTCAACGGCTGACTCACATACGGTTTTGTCAGTAAGTATACTTCTATATACAGTGAACTTGTCCCGAATGAAGTTGCGTGATTAAAACGGGCCTAACAAAACCCACACAGGAAGAGTATATGTTTTTTTGGGTCTTTAATCATCATCTGATAAAACTCAAGTGATATTACTCATGTTACATAACTCTTTTTGTATTAACATATGGAATACTACTTTCATCTACGTAGATGAAAGTACATTAAGGTATTACACACGTAGATGATAAATGTTTTTAGACTGTGGCACTAATACGCTTTCATAGATGGGACCTTAGCACGAATTTGTCGTAAAGGGCCCTAAATGGGGATTGAGTGGACATAATGGCGGATTAGTGTGGATGTTACCGGGTTTTGTGACCATTACCACTATACCCAAGTATCTATACTACTAAAGACAGTAAATGACCACCCCATTCTTTTATATTACTACTGTTATATATCGTGGCTGGACAGATTGAATATAGTAATATGAAATGTTGTGAAAAATGTGAATAATTGATTTGTTTCTGCACGGGGTAACAGTCGCCTGAGGTACGCGATTCCTTGTGCCGAGTTGCGTCCCTTTACCGTAAGAGACGATCGTGGGTTCGAATCCCGGTTCGCCCCGATTATGTTCCTAGGTTTGTCAGCACCATACCCCTGCTCTTGGGTTTAACACACTCACTGATTGAGTTTGACAAAAAATGATTTTTTGTTTTGATTTTCCATCGCTAATGTGACGTAACAGGCTTTAGGCTTGTGGTTTCTGTGCACAATGGGCTACTTATTCTTGGCACTCTCGTCTCGGTGTTTCTGTTTGTTGTCAGTTTTGTGTCGCGGTCAGCAAGACTCCAGCTGTAATTGTAAACCCAGTGATTGATATTATGAGCAACGTCCACACGATGACGATGACACACAATCAAGCTAGTTGACGATTTGGTCAGATAAAGGAAGCCAGTGTGCGATACTCAAAGGCTGGAAGACAAACCTGGATATACATGACAATGGAATGCCTTTCCTGCACAGAACACCAGTGTTATTATTTCAATAAGGAGACATGACGACGGCAGAACATTTTGACAACGATAACAGTGCGAGCTTTTGCATACGTAATGACGGCGGCCGAATCGGGGCGGCCAAACTGCTGGCGCGCTTGCGCGTCTTGTTGACATGCGATATGCTGCCATGTACTATCCAGCCTTCACCTTCATGCATATCAGGCCTCGCTTTCAAACCGGAAGTGACATAATGTGAAAAAGATCAATAACTGCCAGTTCCTTCTTATGCATAGAAATGCACCCCCCCCCCCCCCAAAAAAAAAAAAAATATAAAAAAAATATAAAAAAATAAAATAAATATAAACCAACAAAAAAACACGGTCATATAAACCTTTCTATTAAGCAGCGCGTCGGATGAGTGCGCATTGGCTACACTTAATTTATTTCTTATTCTGTTTTATTTAATTAATTATGCAATGACACGTATGGCATATATGACTACTGTTTCAGATCTCTTGTGTTGTTTGAGGACTTCCCCTGCGACGTGTTCGCGAGAGAGCCCGATGATTTCTTCTACCAGTTCATCCCGTGAGTGTCATACTGAAGGGACCCGTGAAGATCCGGGGTAGAATAGGTCTTCAGCAACCCATGCTTGCCATAAAAGGCGACTATGCTTGTCGTAAGAGGTGACTAATTGGATCGGGCGGTCAGGCTCGTCGACTTGGTTGATGTATGTCATCGCGTAGATCGATGCTCATGATGCCAATCACTGGATTGTCTTGTCCAGACTCGATTATTTACAGACCGCCGTCATATACCTGTAATATTGCTGAGTGCGGCGTTAAACCACAAAGAAACAAACAAACATACCTAAGGCTATCGCACATCTGCAGGACACATATGCACAAAGCAGTGGTAGTAAGACCATGTTAAATAAGGGGTAATATTCGTAGCACTAAGATTGCTTTTAGCTTTTAGCCCTGGGCCCAGTACTATATAGCGTTGTTAGTGCTACGGTCGTAAGGTCATGTTTAAGTATGTGAGTTTTAGTACTAAGATTGCTTTGTACAAGTGAGCCCAGTGCCCGAACACTCAAAGCGATCTTAGCACTATGACAATCGCTTCTCTATGATACGACGCAGCCTAAGAACACTTTGCCGAAAGGGAAGAAACATTCCCGTGTTTCCTTTTGGCTTGACAACGATGAACTCCATTCCCAAAAGGGACTTAATCTTTCGTCCACAAAGTATCGTAGCACTACGACAGTCGTAACACTAATAGCTTAGCAGAGATTAAAACAATTAAGGCAACTGTAGCGCTAAATTTGCTTTGTGGAACGGTAAGCTGTTATGTTACGGTTTGGAAAAGACGGTCATCGGTTTGTTTGTTTGTTTGTTTGTTTGTTGTTTTATGCCCACAATATTCCAGCTATTACGACCGGTCTTCGTAGAATTTCCGTGTAGGCTTCCGTCAGACGTCCGTGTAGAAACTGACCCTGGCTTAGCAGCACCCCTTTAATACGTGTCTCAAAAATATTGCTTGACAGACCGCAGGTTGACCTTCAAAGTTTATCATTGTTCAATAGGAGTGAGTGAGTGAGTACGGTTTTACGCCGCTTTTAGCAATATTCCAGCAATATCACGGCGGGGGACACCAGAAATGGGCTTCACACATTGTACCCATGTCGGGAATCGAACCCGGGTCTTCGGCGTGACGAGTGAACGCTTTAACCACTAGGCTACCCGACCGCCCCTGTTCAATAGGACAACGACCTGTAAAGAACCGGGTTAGTATATGTCTTCAGTAACCCTTGCTTGCTCTAATAGCGACTATGCCTGTCGTAAGAGGCAACTATGCCAGTCTTGAGAGGCGACTCACGGGGTCGAGTGGTCAGACTCGCTGACTTGGTTGATGCATGTCATCGCATCCCAATTGCGTGGATCGATGTTCATGATGTCAGTCAATGGATTGTCTGGTCCAGACTCGATAATTTACAGACCGCCGTCATATAGCTGTAATATTGCTCAGTGCGGCGTTAAACAACAAACAAACAAACAAACATGAGGTCAAGGTATAATACGCCCATATGAGCTCTTTAGCTCGATCTGTTTTGTACTGTGATGACTTTGTGACTCCTTAGTCTTTGATAGACCCTTCAATCTCATACAATGTGATCTGTTATTCCGTTGCAATATATTTCTCCTAAAGATATGATTAACCATGGACATGAAGTCACGTCAGGTTGGGTGGGGTGTCAGGGGTTAGACTCCACCGAAAACCTCATCCACCACTTTGAAGATCACATACATACCCCAAGCAGATGACCAACAAAACCATCATCTAATTATGATTGAAATACGAGGGCACGGGTGGCCCACTCGTCTAAGGCGCCGCGATTCGCTGTGCAGAGTTGCGTCCCTTGGGCACGCCGGAAACCTATGATTGTGGGCTCGAATCCCGGTTCGCCCCGATTATGTTTCTAGGTTTGTCAGCACCATACCCGTGCTCGTGGGTTTCACCGAAGTGGTAAACGTCTGAGACCTGCATCACTTCGGGCTTTCCTCCCACATTAAGCTGACACGCCGTGATATAACTGGAATATTGTTAAAAGCGGCGTAAAACCCAACTCACTCACTCACTATGATTGAAATACACATGTACGTTCAAAATGGCACCCAAGATCCACCGACCGGAATTTAAAATGTAAAACTTGAATCCCATCAGATCCGGACGGAGACAGGTATTGAATCGTGATACAGGGTCTGTTTTAATGTGATTGACATAATGTCATGTTTTACAACGCGACCGCCTCCGTGGTCTTGTGGCAGAGCGTCCGCCCGGAGAGCGGAAGGTCCAGGGTTCGATTCCCGGCCGCGTCATACCATAAGACGTTAAAATATGGTACTTGTTGTTACCCTGTCTGGCGCTCGGCATTAAAACAGGGACTGGTCGGCTCGGAGTCAGTATACTGTGTCTGAGTGGGGCATTCATGTTAAACTGCGTCATGGTATCTCAGTGAGCTAGCACTATAAATTGGCATCAGTCCGGACTAGTACAAGCAGCCACACACCCCCCCACACACGTGCATGCACGTCGCTATATAAGCGCAATAATCTTGGACGCGACGTTAAGCCAAATTTCACCTCACCTCATCTTTAACAACGCATACTTTGACAAAGAGGACCACCCAAGCTACACCATGTCAAGGGTAGAACCTGGGCCCAGTTTCACAAAGCGATCTTAGCGTTACGACCACCCTAACCCAATGTTATAGTATTGGAGTTACGATCACCTTAGTACTAAGATCGCTTTGTGGAACGGGGCCTTGAGCATCTTGTCCATGTTACCGAGATCCTAAAAAATTGTCACCTACGGCTATTTTAATTCACCGTGATTTGAGATAACCTATTTGTTGATTTTGATTTAAATTTAGGTTAAATAAATGTCGGTATTGAATTTCTAATCATGAAAATGATATTATATCTGCTTCACTAGTTAACGAGATATTAACACGTACAAAAAACATATGTTTTAGTCTTTGAAATCAGTTAATGGTGGCCATCACAATAATCTCACGTAGCAAAAAACGATTTAAGTTAAACAAATAATCAGTTTGTTGGGCATGATGATGTTTTCCGTTATAGTATATTGCATTTTATACATCTACAATTTTTTTTTACAATTTCGGTGCAAATAGTTTAGAAAACAAGATATTTCTTTGTTATTTTAACAATTACAGTTTTACGATGATATCATTGCTTTTTATCAATGTTGCAGTATATCTATCTATCTATCTATCTACCTATCTATCTATAATAGCATCTCTGTGCATATCAAGTTGAAACACTGTAAGCTTATTTAATCATATGCATTATTTTTTTTAGAAGCGACTCAATTATCGTGAGAGACAGTCGCGAATGCCGATATCTGATCGTTGTTAAATCAGTAAGTATTTGATCAACAAACACTATTACAAATCAAAGTCAGGATCAATTCGGAATACTCCAACACACCAGGAAATCTGAAAACAATCATATTTTATAGACATTGTGAAATTCGCTGTAACCTGAATGTGAGTGTGTACTGTTTTCTGATTGGCTGAAAAAAAACCCCGTTGTTAAATGGGATTTGATGCAGGAAATCCCGGACTTTTCACTGCGTATGAATACGCAAACATTATGAGAGTGCCTCATTGCTCATTCGTGACCAACTCGTGTTATTCCGGGACAAGCCGAATAACGACTCGTGCCCCATTCGTCACCACTCGCCCCTTTCCGTAACCTGCAAGAAGACTCGTCCCCCTATCGATGAAGGTTATGTGCGAAAATACGACAAACCAATCAGAATGCACGTTTGATTTCAAGTTGTTCATCAAAGAATCCCTCAGAAATAATTTTTGATTTTACATATGTCTTGCATCTAAAAATATACCCAAGACACAGTTAAATGTGTTCAATCATGCTGTATCATTCCGCATGTCCAGATGGGCTTTAAATTGCATCTGAAATATATATAATATATGGGGAAATATATGTGAAGCATTACGCAACGAGTTGACAATTGTTTTAGGTATGCCCGTTTGCGCTAAGACGGAACCCGGTCGCAAAAATGGATATGAGAGGGGCACGAGTCGCTATTCGGCTTGTCCCGGAATAACACGAGTTGGTCACGAATGCTCGTGCCCCTCTCGTGGACATTTTTGCAACCGGGTTCCGTCTTAGCGCAAACGGGCATACCTAAAACAATTGTCAACTCGTTGCGTCATGGTTCACGAATAATTCCCCTTATGTTACATACTTCAGATGCAATTTAAAACACATCGGGACGTGCGGAATGATACAGTATAATTGAACACATTTAACTGTGTCTTCGGTATATTTTTAGATGCAAGACATATGTAAAATCAAAAATTATTTCTGAGGGATTCTTTGACGAAGAACTTGAAATCATACGCGCATTCTGATTGGTTTGTCGTATTTTCGCGCATAACATTCATCGATAGGGAGACGAGACCTCTTGTAGATTACGGAAAGGGGCGAGTGGTGACGAATGCCTCATTGCTATGTTTCTAGGGCAAATGCTCTCTGGTGGCACCGTTCAAAGAGTCGAGCCAGCATAAGGAGAGACCGGTCAGCATAAGGACTGACTTGGAGAGAGCCTTTCCTTTCTACGCAGAGAAGCGCAAATTGAACAACAGACCAAGTACGATATCGAATTTTGATCTTGACGTGAATGAGTGAGTGAGTTTTTTAACGCCGATTCGACAGCATTTCAGTTTTATCACGACGTGTCAGCTTGATGTGGCTGGAAATGCCAAAGTAACGTAGTTTTTGGACCTTTGCAAAGGGTATAACAAACAAGGAGCCGACAAATCAAGATTATCAGGCGAATATGGGATTCGAACCCATAACCATTGCTTTTCGGCGCGCATAAGGGACGCAACTTTGAAACAGCGAATTGCGACGACTTGGCCATTCGTGCACCCGAATCTGTCTTGGTGTAATCCACTTCATGTATTTCTGATGGTGGCGCTTTAGTGTGTGTGCGTGTGTGCGTGCGTGCGTGCGGGCCTGCGTGCGTGCTTGCGTAGTGCGCATGTGCTTGCGTACGTATGCTCTAAGAGTTAAAAAACTTAACTCTGGCAAGATCCTGCACAAAAGTCAGATGTGTCACATGAACTCAATCGAGTTATTAATTTGCATGTTATTAGACGCCAACGCCAAATATGTTTTTTATATATCATGAAATGGAATAACGTGTTAATGTGCATTCGTGATGGTAACAACTGATCTTATGAACACCGTGTCACAATAACTAAACGCTACTGTGACATAATCAGGAGAACATGCAGTGTCTTCAATGCAAAAGCTTCCAATATACTTTCACTATCTGTAATTATTTAGAGCAGACAGGCTGGTATACACTGTGACCTTGGGAACAGGTCAGTCACAACGGTTCAGAAAGCGTGACGTGCATGTTGGGATTGCAGAGACGGGGTTAGCCCTGGAGAGGTCAGCCAGCGACTTCCGGGACTCCCTAGAGGTGGGGCTGCTGACGGGGGTGCTGGACAAGAGACAGCTGGAGGAACGTGGGGTAGAGCATCAGAGAGGCCAGGTGGGTGGAAGGTGTGAGGGTGGATCGAGGGTGTGGAGGTGGGTCGAGGGTGTGGAGGTGGATTGAGGGTGTGGAAGTGGGTCGAGGGTGTGGAGGTGGGTCGAGGGTGTGGTGGAGGATTGAGGGTGTGGAGGATGGTCGAGGGTGTGGAGGTGGGTCGAGGGTGTGGAGGTGGATTGAGGGTGTGGAAGTGGGTCGAGGGTGTGGAGGTGGGTCGAGGGTGTGGTGGAGGATTGAGGGTGTGGAGGATGGTCGAGGGTGTGAAGGTGGATTGAGGGTGTGGAGGTGGGTCGAGGGTGTGGAGATGGGTCGAGGGTGTGGTCGTGGGTCAAGTTGTGGAGTTGGAGCGAGGGTCGAGGGTGTGGAGGTGGGTCGAGGGTGTGGAGGTGGGTCGAGGGTGTGGAGGTGGAGCGAGGGTGTGGAGATGGGTCGAGGGTGTGGTGGTGGATTGAGGATGGTCGAGGGTGTGGAGGTGGGTTGAGGGTGTGGAGGTGGTTCGAGGGTGTGGTCGTGGGTCAAGTTGTGGAGTTGGAGCGAGGGTCGAGGGTGTGGCGGTGGGTCGAGGGTGTGGAGATGGATCGAGGGTGTGGAGGTTGGTCGAGGGTGTGGAGGTGGGTCAAGGGTGTGGTGGTGGGTCGAGGGTGTGGAGGTGGGTCGAGGGTGTGGAGGTGGATCGAGGGTGTGGAGGCGGATCGAGGGTGTGGAGGTGGGTCGAGGGTGTGGAGGTTGGTCGAAGGTGTGGAGGTGGAGCGAGGGCCGAGGGTGTGGAGGTGGGTCGAGGGTGTGGTGTTGGGTCAAGCTGTGGAGCGAGGGTCGTGGGTGTGGAGGTGGGTCGAGGGTGTGGAGGTGGAGCGAGGGTCGAGGGTGTGGAGGTGGAGTGAGGGTGTGGAGATGGGGCGAGGGTGTGGAGGTGGGTCGAGGGTGTGGAGATGGGTCGAGGGTGTGGAGATGGGTCGAGGGTGCGGAGGTGGGTCGAGGGTGTGGAGGTGGAGCGAGGGTGTGGAGATGGGTCGAGGGTGTGGAGATGGGTCGAGGGTGTGGAGATGGGTCGAGGGTGTGGAGGTGGGTCGAGGGTGTGGAGATGGGTCGAGGGTGTGGAGATGGGGCGAGGGTGTGGAGATGGGGCGAGGGTGTGGAGGTGGGTCGAGGGTGTGGAGGTGGGTCGAGGGTGTGGAGATGGGTCGAGGGTGTGGAGATGGGTCGAGGGTGCGGAGGTGGGTCGAGGGTGTGGAGGTGGAGCGAGGGTGTGGAGATGGGTCGAGGGTGTGGTGGTGGATTGAGGATGGTCGAGGGTGTGGAGGTGGGTTGAGGGTGTGGAGGTGGGTCGAGGGTGTGGAGGTGGGTCGAGGGTGTGGAGGTGGATCGAGGGTGTGGAGGCGGATCGAGGGTGTGGAGGCGGATCGAGGGTGTGGAGGTGGGTCGAGGGTGTGGAGGTTGGTCGAAGGTGTGGAGGTGGAGCGAGGGCCAAGGGTGTGGAGGTGGGTCGAGGGTGTGGTGTTGGGTCAAGCTGTGGAGCGAGGGTCGTGGGTGTGGAGGTGGGTCGAGGGTGTGGAGGTGGAGCGAGGGTCGAGGGTGTGGAGGTGGGTCGAGGGTGTGGTGGTTGGTCGAGGGTGTGGAGGTGGGTCGAGGGTGTGGAGGCGGATCGAGGGTGTGGAGGCGGATCGAGGGTGTGGAGGTGGGTCGAGGGTGTGGAGGGTGTGGAGGCGGATCGAGGGTGTGGTGTTGGGTCAAGCTGTGGAGCGAGGGTCGTGGGTGTGGAGGTGGGTCGAGGGTGTGGAGGTGGAGCGAGGGTCGAGGGTGTGGAGGTGGGTCGAGGGTGTGGTGGTTGGTCGAGGGTGTGGAGGCGGATCGAGGGTGTGGAGGCGGATCGAGGGTGTGGAGGTAGGTCGAGGGTGTGGAGGTTGGTCGAAGGTGTGGAGGTGGAGCGAGGGCCGAGGGTGTGGAGGTGGGTCGAGGGTGTGGTGTTGGGTCAAGCTGTGGAGCGAGGGTCGTGGGTGTGGAGGTGGGTCGAGGGTGTGGAGATGGATCGAGGGTGTGGAGGTTGGTCGAGGGTGTGGAGGTGGGTCGAGGGTGTTGTGGTGGGTCGAGGGTGTGGAGGTGGGTCGAGGGTGTGGAGGTGGATCGAGGGTGTGGAGGCGGATCGAGGGTGTGGAGGCGGATCGAGGGTGTGGAGGTGGGTCGAGGGTGTGGAGGTTGGTCGAAGGTGTGGAGGTGGAGCGAGGGCCGAGGGTGTGGAGGTGAGTCGAGGGTGTGGAGATGGAGCGAGGGTCGAGGGTGTGGAGGTGGGTCGAGGGTGTGGTGGTGGGTCGAGGGTGTGGAGATGGGTCTAGGGTGTGGAGGTTGATCGAGGGTGTGGAGGCGGATCGAGGGTGTGGAGGCGGATCGAGGGTGTGGAGGTGGGTCGAGGGTGTGGAGGGTGTGGAGGCGGATCGAGGGTGTGGAGGTAGGTCGAGGGTGTGGAGGTTGGTCGAAGGTGTGGAGGTGGAGCGAGGGCCGAGGGTGTGGAGGTGGGTCGAGGGTGTGGTGTTGGGTCAAGCTGTGGAGCGAGGGTCGTGGGTGTGGAGGTTGGTCGAGGGTGTGGAGGTGGGTCGAGGGTGTGGTGGTGGGTCGAGGGTGTGGAGGTGGGTCGAGGGTGTGGAGGTGGATCGAGGGTGTGGAGGCGGATCGAGGGTGTGGAGGCGGATCGAGGGTGTGGAGGTGGGTCGAGGGTGTGGAGGTTGGTCGAAGGTGTGGAGGTGGAGCGAGGGCCGAGGGTGTGGAGGTGGGTCGAGGGTGTGGTGTTGGGTCAAGCTGTGGAGCGAGGGTCGAGGGTGTGGAGGTGGGTCGAGGGTGTGGAGGTGGAGCGAGGGTCGAGGGTGTGGAGGTGAGTCGAGGGTGTGGAGGTGGGTCGAGGGTGTGGAGATATGATCGTGGGTGGAAAGTGGGACGAATGTGGGTTGGTAGAAGTGTGTGTGTGTGTGGGGGGGGGGGGGGGGGGGTTGTTAATGGTAGGAAGATGGGTAGAGTTCGAGGGTGGGCAGGAGGTAGAGGGGGAATGGAAGGTAGGGAGGTAGGTAGAGGGTGGGGAGGTGGGTAGAGGATGCGGAGGTGGGTCATTCCGGTGAGAGTTAGGAACAAACCCCACAGCTGTGTGCCGCCTACATCCGACATCGGGACATTTTACTGGAGCTTCAAAATATACATCAAGCAAAATGTGCTTTCAAAGCCTCATTTCGCGTGTCAAAAGTTTCGATGAGATGTTTCATTCACGAACATGACCTCAATATAGTAAAACCTCCCTTGGTTTCATTTGTGTATTGGTATTTACAGAGGACGGCGGGTGGGAGGAACTCACAAACTGTGAAACGTCCGCCTCCACTGCAGAAGAGTATGACCATGAGCAACTTCTTCGACAGTGTGGAGCAAGACAGGCGACGAAGTATGGTAGGTGAAGTGACATCCTCGATTATGAAGGGTATTATACCTACGTGTCATAATATAATGGAGATACAATAAATACACTGGATAATCGAGGATGATGAATAAAGTGAATAGGCCTTAGAATAGGTCTTCGGCATCACATGCTTGTCTTAAGAAGCGACCGTGCTTGTCGTAAGAGGCGACTAACGGGATCGGGTGGTCAGGCTCGCTGACTTGGTTGATGCATGTCATCGTATCCCTATTGCTGTTGTTTGTTGTTGAACGCCGCACTCAGCAATATTCGAGTCTGGGCCAGACAATCCAGTGATTGACATCATGAGAATCGATCCACGCAATTGGGATACGATGACATGCATCAACTAATTCAGCGAGCCTGACCACCCGATCCCGTTAACCGCCTCTTGACAAGCACAGGTTGCTGAAGACCTATTCTACCCCGGATCTTCACGGGGCCGTATCCAAATTGCGAAGATCGACGCTCATGATGTCAATCACTTGATTGACTGGTCCCGACTCGATTATTAAAAGACCGCCGTCATATAGCTGGTGTATTGCTGAGTGCAAACAACAAACAAACAAAACCTACATCAATTACATGTGCTTCTGTAGCTCACTCAACCATCAGTGAGTAAGTGAGTGAGTGAGTTGGGTTTAACGCGGCTTTTAACAGTATTCCAGTTATATCTCGGCGTGTCAGCTTAATGTGGGAAGAAATCCCGAAGTGATGCAGGTCTCAGACGTTTACAACTTCGGTGAAACACACGAGCACGGGATATTGTGCTGACAAACCTAGAAATATAATCGGGGCGAACCGGGATTCGAACCCACAATCATAGGTTTCTGGCGTGCCCAAGGGACGCAACTCTTCACAGCGAATCGCGGCCCCTTAGACGAATGGGCCACCCGTGCCCACCTCAACCATCAGACGGACACGTAATGCAGTGTCGGGTTAACACTGAGTTGTGTACTGTTTCCCCAGCAGGGCGGGGAGGATGGAGACAGCACGTTCTGGGCGATGAGACTGAGAGGACCATCCTTCCGTCAGATGATGAGCAAGAGGAGAATTGGTAACCACCCAAACCATCTTTCACGCTAGACGAACTCTTATTATTGTCAGGATTAAGAATATTTGCGTACGGATAATCGAAAATACATAAATTGCAAGCGCTACCTTGGTATTTGATTGGCTAACCAATACTTACTTTCATATATGTTTCTATAAACCGAATAAATATTAGGCACGGGCACTTAGACACTACTGTTTCCTGATTGGCTGATAATAGTATGGGCGGGGCTTGTTTTGAATTATTGGGCTAAACGATGTCACTGATTTCGTACTGTTGTCTACATTTTTTTGTGTTAATCGTTAAAACGCAATCTGTGAGGTAATATTTATATATATAAGAATTCAATATGTTTTGCGTCTATGGAGGGATAAACGTAAAACACACTGTGCAAACTGTGCAAATCCGCGTGACACATTTCCGGGCCTCACCTTTTCTTTTTTCGAGCCCCTTAACAATACGTGACCACACGCTTTGTGACGTAATCACGGTAGACCATTCCAAGCCCACTGAAGACATCAAACTGTTCGCCACCTGCCGTTGAAGTTGTATTGCAAATGAAGCCACACAAGGAATGCTATTCAATAAGTAATGAAAACATACCTGAAAACCTACTTTTTTATACTGGTGATAATTTTGCATCGTAACAATCGTATGTACCGATTATGTATCAGCTGTTGTTTGTAAACTTCCTGTCTGTAATGTCACGTGACCATGGTGAGCATCTATTTTTAACTTGGCTGTCATGGAGGGGCTCAAAATCAGGTGACGATAACAAAATGGCAACTGATCGACTCGTCTCGCTCGTCGAGGTATCATCGCTTTTAAATTAAGAAGACATGAGTTAACAGAAATAAATTTTCCCAAAAGTTTAGCGTACTGGGATCATTATGAGAGACGTAATCAAAATAATTCTTAGGGGCTCGAAAACCCTAAATACGAGGATACATTACTCTGTTCTACTGTTGACTATAGATTCGTTGGAATGATTCAGAATGTAATGTTTTGTTTGTTGAACAAAAATAAATTGAATATTATTACGAAATATAAAATGTATGCCGTAATATCATTGGAAGAAAATGTTGGTTCCATGCCGGGTTCTCTATGGGTCATTTCAATAATATTCATCACGTGTTCATCTGCTGAAAGAAAAAGAGGAAATAGACTATTAAATACGCTTATACCATGCCAATGGCTGTCACCACATTATTTCATCATTTATATTTATTGTTTCTGGCAGGGTCAAGGTCGAACAACAGAGCAACGTCTGCACAAAACGTAAGTCTTATCTAGGAATACCAGTTAAGATCCACTGGTGCTTGAGAGAGTGTTCTAACGACCTTTGAATGTTCACATGGTAGACTTGTGATATCCCAGAAATATACTCATCAGGAAAGAAACGTGTGTGTGTGTGTGTGTGTGTGTGTCTCTGTGTGTGTGTGTGGGGGGGGGGGGGGGGGGGGGGGGGGGGCTGTGTGGCTGTGAGCGTGTCTCTTTGTGTGTGTGTGTGTGTGTGTGTGTGTGTGTGTGTGTGGCTGTGTGGCTGTGTGGCTGTGTGGCTGGTTGATGTTCCGGACTTATGCTGGTTTTACAGCTAGCCCACTGAGATGCATCGCTGCAATTTAATATGAATACCCCGTCCTTGTTTTATTCGCTTTATGCCGAGGGCCAGGCAGGGCATCAAGAAGTACCAGCTTTTAATGTGTTTGGACATGACCCATTCCAGACAGGGATAAGGTAATGCGAGCATACGGTACAATCAAAAACGTATTCATGTAAAACTGCGACATGGTATCTCAGTGGGCTAGCACTATAAAACCGGCATTAGTCGGACAAGTACAAGCAGCCACCCACACACGTCGCAATTTAAGTGCACTTATCTTGGACGCGGCGTTAAACCCCATTTAACCTCATCTCACCGTATAGTGGGTATTTGTATGTTGTATAATGTATGGTGAATATTTTATGTCAGATGAAGAAGTTGGACTTTCTCCGAGAAAACGATTCCGTGTCATTCGCTGAAGTTGCGGAGCTGAAGCAGGGGGCTGTATTTGTAAGTATTACCGGCCGCTTATTTATTGGAATATTCATATGATATTTCACTTACATTTGTCGTTACCTTTTGCAAATTAACACGATTTGTCTTACAAATATGTGATAAATCATATGTAAAGAAGATATTGAATCGCTGAAAAGTGAAACGAAAATGTCAAAAACTAAAATGAAAATACAGATAACTATTTCCACCGCGGTGTTAAGATTTTGATTAACGAATCGCTGATGAAAGAGATCTGATCTGTCGGGGTTCAGACTATTCAGATTAACAAGATCCGGACTGTCAGGGTTCGACTTGTTAAGATGCAGATTGACGAGATCCCAACATTTGAGGTTCGATGAAGTGAGTTTGGTTTTCCGCCGCCTTGGACAGTATTCCAGTTATATTACGGCGTTTCAGGTTGATTTTTGAGGAAAACCCGAAGTGAGGCATGTTTTAGACGTTTTCCACTTTGGGGAAACCCACGAGCACGGGCATGATGGTGTCATGAAACCAAGAAACATTATCAGAGCGAACCTGGGATTCGAACCCAGGATCAAATATTTCTGGCCAGCCTAATTAATTGCGACGCCACAGATGACTGGGCCACCGGTTGCGCTATATACGAGATCCTGACTATTGGGGTTATAATAAATGACGTCCAGATTAACGAGGTCCGGTCAATCCAAGTTCGCACTACCGAGAATCAGATTAACGAGATCTAGGTTATTTTGAATAGATTAATGAGGACCGCATACCCGTGAAGATCCGGTGTAGAATAAGTCTTCAGCAACCCATGCTTGCCGTGAAAGGTGACTATGCCTGTCTTAAGAGACGAAGTAACGGGATCGGGTGGTCAGGCTCGATGACCCGGTAGATGCATGTACAACAAACAAAGAATGTCATCGTGCGTGGATCGATGCTCATGATGTCAATCACTGGATTGTCTGGTCCTTACTCGGTTATTTACAAACCGCCGTTATATAGCTGGAATATTGCTGAGTGCGGCGTTAAACAACGATCAAAACAAAATCAATCTGTTCTCAATGAAATTATTGGAAACAGACAATATTGACCTTATTCTCTCCTTACTAGTGCTGAGTGCGGCGTTAAACAACAAACAAACAAACAAACGAGGTCTGCATCGTGGATAGAGCTCAGTCCATCATTCCTTACTACGTAAAGGCGACTAACGGGATCGGGTGGTCAGGCTCGCTGACTTGGTTGATGCATGTCATCGATCCCAATTGCGTGGATCGATGCTCATGATGTTAATCACTGGATTGTCTGGTCCAGACTCGATTATTTACAGACCGCCGTCATATACCTGGAATATTGGTGAGTGTGGCGTTAAACAACAAACCAACCAACCAAATCCTTACTACAAGAACTCACTGATACATCATATCTGTATTGACCTGACCCCCTGAATCCTGTCCCCAGGGCCTGGAGTCCCTGGTACACCGCCCCGCCTCCTCCCTCACCCTGGTCAGCCACGGAGCCGAGTGCCTCTTCGTCTCCAAGAAACTCTTCTTGCAGGAAGCCAACATCAAGACTCTGCGCGTCGTTAGTGATATGGTCAGTTGGTTTAAATATATATTATTATCCCCCGCAACGCAGTGGAAGGGGGATATAGAAATTGATGCTGTCTATCGGTCCTTCCGTCCGCCACGTTTCGTTTCCGGAGCAGAACTAAAAAACCATAAGATATATCTTAACCACACATGGATAGCTCTAGTGGTTAATTGGCATCTTCCCGAGGCAAGAAAGTTAACTGATTTTAAAAGTCCAGTTTCAACCCTTGCCGAACTAGGCTAGAATTACTGGGCTCGATCGTTGCGCAACCAGTGGCTATTACCAATTATGTCCCCTCTAAGCCTCTCCTATGGACCAATCAGATTCCACCTCTCGTATCACTTGCGTTTGCTTCACACAAAATGGATAATCAAGATCCATATTTTGATAAAACGGGTCTTACATCGCGAAATGCATCAAATCACGTGAGCACCTTGATTAAAAACATGAAAGGATTTGGAAAATATCTGCTGACAACGAATTGGCGATGCACATGCTTTGCAAATCCTGCAATCGATCGAAATCTGCACGACAGTTTGCGAACCGGATTTTGATTTCGGTGCGCGATTTCGATTGGACTATACATAGACTCGTTAGTCGAGACAAAACATAACTCCATGATACCAGCCTAGTTCGGCAAAGGTGGAAACTGGACTTTTATTGTCAGTTAACTCCTTTGCCTCGGGAAGATGGTTACTTGGTGGCTTTTGATAGTTTGGGATTTTAATTTTTAAAATATTTTTCGAGTGTCCATAGCAACGACTTTGACTTATACTGAAAATGGTCCACACAACTGGACATGTCATATTGGCGGGTGATATGAGTATTTCATGCTTGTTCATAATGGGATTGGGTATTAGTTCTCCAACTTTGGACGCCTGCTATAGCCAGTTATAACGCACCCAGCTGGGATTCCGGGTTAGAATTGACCATCAACATAGGGGAGGCGACTGGAATCGGGTTGTCAGCATCTTCCCGAGGCAAGGAAGTTAACTGACTATAAAAGTCCAGTTTCCTCCCTTGCCGAACTAGGCTGCAATTTTGGAGTTACATTTTGGCTGGACTAACGAGTCTATGCATAGTCCAATCAAAATCGCGTAACGAACGGTTCGTAAACAACATTGATTTCAACGTGCAGATTTCAGTCGACTACAGGATTTGCAAAGCATGTGTACAGCCAACTGAGCGTCGACAGATATTGTCCGAATTCTTTCATGCTTTTAATCAAGATGCTCACGTGAGTTGATGCACTTTGCGGGATAAGACCCGTTTTATTACAATATAGATCTGGATCATCGAGCAGATCGTCTTGACTGGGCACCGCCATTTTGTTTGAAGCAAATGCAAGCGTTATATGAGAAATGGAATCTGATTGGTCAATAGGAGGAACATAGAAGGGATATAACTCGTAAAAGCCACTGCTGGCGCTACGATCTATCCTGGAAATTCCAGCCTAGTTCGACAAGGGTGGAAACTGGACTTTTATAGTCAGTTAACGCCCTTGCCTCGGGAGGATGGGTTGTCAGTGACGTGGTTGATCGCGTGTCAACGTTTCGACGGCGTTGATCGTTGCTTCTAATATCAATCACTTGTCTGTCTGGTCCAGATTCGATTATTTTGTTTTTACCATGTCCTTGGATGTATCAGACAAGGAAAGATATGGCGTACCACATCAAGGTGACAAGTTAATCCTAAGAGACATTTTCTTTTGGGTAGACCTTGGTTTCAATCCTAACTTATGACCACTATGTACCTGAATGTTTCCCCTCTGATGTTGCTTCGGGATGACTTAAAAATAGGGGCGGTCGGGTAGCCTAGTGGTTAAAGCGTTCGCTCGTCACGCCGAAGACCCGGGTTCGATTCCCGACATGGGTACAATGTGTGAAGCCCATTTCTGGTGACCCCCGCCGTGATATCGCTGGGATATTGCTAAAAGCGGCGTAAAACCATACTCACTCACTCACTTAAAAATAAAACTCAATTAATAATTTACTTGTGTACAAATACCATATAGTTTGTAACTATGGTTATACAGTATTTAATTTCAAAATTAATTTGCTACGACTTAATCTGTGAGGTGTAGGTGCGTTGGTAGACTGCTTTGAAAGGGGGTCTATTTTGTCTTTTAAAGGTGATGAGCTACCCATCACAGGTTTTCATCCGCGAGCAGGTCAAAGTTCACCGTGACTGGATCAAGTACAGACGCGGTCTGGTGAGCGAGGTGACGTCCAGATATGAGGGTTCTTGACGACCTCCAGCACTGTTCACACTGCCCCAACTTAACCGTTAAATGAGAATGGCTGCTCCAGGTGTCCATTCCAGTCTAGGTCGAGAACTGTAATTAGTGCCATGTGGGAAACTGGGACTTGACTCTCGTTAACGTTGGATTCACACTACGACCGCGTAAAAAGTCCGACATGATGTTTTTCCTGACATAACTAAACTCACTGGAACCGAATTTTGAATGCGTTGCGTTCCGATACTGTGAAAAAAAGCACTAGAATGACAAAACGTCCCAGAAATCTGAAAAAACAACCCCCAAACCCCCCAAAATAATCCTTAATTTCAAACTTGAGTTGGATTTTTTTCTCCAGGGTCTGATGCACCTAATGCCTGGCCAAAGAAAGTGTACACTTTGACAAAAAAATTACAAACGTTATCAAACGTTATAAGGCTGAAACACAACACACTTAATGTCCAACACAACTATGATACCCGTATCAAATACATCACGATCGAATAACCATTTCTTGTTTGTTTTATGCTTGGTCGGGTAGCCTAGTGGTTAAAGCTTTCGCTAGTCACGCTGAAGACCCGGGTCCGATTCCCGACATGGGTACAATGTGTGAAGCCCATTTCTGGTGTCCCCCGCCGTGATATTGCTGGAATATTGCTAAAAGCGACGTAAAATCATGCTGACTCACTCACTGTTTTTTTTTTTTTTTAGCAACCATCAACCAAAGTGTTTACTTTCGTTTTTATCTTACGCACCGCATTTGAATCGCAGTTCAATATACATCGCACTAACTTTAGGGTTGTAGAGTGAATCCAGACCATACTACTCAAAATAAGTTGATTCTTTCATATGACTATACTTAATCTTTCATGCCCATGCTATATTAGTTTATTTGCGTTTGTTCTTTAACGCCGAACTCCAGTCTGGACCAGACAATCAAGTGATTGACATCGTGAGCATCGATCCACGCAATTGGGATACGATGACATGCATCAACCAAGTCAGCGAGCCTGACCACCCGATCCCCTTAGTCGCCTCTTACGACAAGCATAGTCGCCTTTTACGGCAAGCATGGGTTGCTGAAGACCAATTCTACCCCTGATCTTCACGGGCACTATGACACTAACTGTAGTCATATAAAAGAATCGGGTATTCCTTAACTTCTTTTGAGTTGTATATGTTTGCTAGGACTACGGACCGACCCTGGTCCTCGCACTCATAATCATACATGGTTACTAGTTATGTTTGTAAGTGTAATTTCAGTGATCTTAATAGACTGCTGTCTAATCGTATGTGGGTTACCGCTATGCGATGATATTCGGGGCTGTCGGGTAGCCTAGTGGTTAAAGCGTTCGCTCGTCACGCCGAAGACCCGGGTTCGATTCCCGACATGGGTACAATGTGTGAAGCCCATTTCTGGTGTCCCCCGCCGAGGTATTGCTAAAAGCGGCGTTAAACCTCAATCACTCACTACGCGATTATATACAATTGTTTGGCCTTTTGTTTTTATTTGTCGGTTTATATAAGGTTTGGCCTGAAAGTCTAATTTAGGTTGTCGAAAATACCATAAAAAATTAACTGCCAGATTAGTACTGTACACATGAATGAAAAAACAAACTCGAACGTCACATCATTACAGAAGTACGATTGAGAAACGATAACGAAAGATAACTCATTGTTCTTATTTTTCTATTAGAATGAAAATGTATATATTGATTATTCACCATTTCTTACGAACTGCGGTGATAATATCTCGTGTTTTTCCTTTTCACAGTTGCCCCTATTGTATTTTTGTCAGATTCCTTGTATGTAAATGTACGCTTATGAAAGAGTAAAGAAGATTTGACAATTATATTCGTGTTTTTAACTCTGAGTATAATCAATGTTCTTTATTGTTTACTTTATATACACTAAGTATAATATTATACGTATAATCAATTATTGAGTTCTTAGCTGGGGGGGGGGGGGGGGACCTAATGCTCCTCTGGACAGAAGAAGTCCACAGTACCCCACGATTGTCGTAAGATGCGACTATCTTGAGGATTTGATGTCATAATGGATGATCTGTCTGGCCGTGTGTCATCACGCAATGATGACGTGGGGCATATCAATCACTGGTTTGTCTGGTCAAGACTCAAGTATTTACAGGCATGTGATTAAGGTGGGGTACGGGTGACTTGGAGAGAGAATAGGCTGGTTCCGGCGATTGTCCATAAAAGCATTTATGAAACAAGTTAAGCTGTTTCTCGACCCCATTACCACGTGAGGCAGTCGGTAACACGGATGTTTAAAGCGTTCGCTCACCAAGGTGTTTTTTTTTCCCTCATGGATGGACCGCCTCCGTGGTCTAGTGGTAGAGCGTCCGGGGTTCGATCCCCGGCCGCGTCATACCAAAAGACGTTAAAAGATGGTACTTGTTGTTACCCTGTCTGGCGCTCGGCAGTAAGGGACTGGTCGGCTCGGAGTCAGTATACTGTGTCTGAGTGGGGTATTCATGTTAAACTGCGGCATGGTATCTCAGTGGGCTAGCACTATAAATCGGCATCAGTCCGGTCTAGTACAAGCAGCCACACACACACACACACGTGCATGCACGTCGCTATATTAGTGCAATAATCTTGGACGCGACGTTAAACCCAATCTCACATCACTCTCCTCATGGATACAATGTCTGGAGCCTAAATCTGGTGTCTCTCGGAGTGCTATTACGAACCTGTAGCTAAAATCGGCTTCAAAACCCTACTCACTCACCCACTGTCATGTGTTATTTACATGACAGCCCAACCAATGAACATAATCTATCAAAAATATTTACCGCACTGTACTAGTAAAGTAGTAAAGTTGTTTTAGTAAAGAGTAGTTCAACCAACTGTTCAATCATCAGTGAGGAAGTCAAGACATAATGCGATTTAATTCAGTATAAAAAACGACACATTTGTCAAAAACAGTTCAAAATAGTATCTACACAATGTACAAAATATATCTCGGTCCTGACAGATCGTAACAAGGCTATCACAGATATGGGTATGACAGCTCGTGGTGGCGTTATCACAGATACTGAATACGTATCACAGATACACATCAATATCAATAAATATAATCCGACGGTGGAATAATTTTGACGAACTTGGGTCATTCGGTCAGATTAAGTGTATGGAACACACCAATAATACTAAATATAAGCGGATTGGATAAGCCTGTACAACGCAGCAGAATGTATTCGACGAAGGTCCAGTCATGTTGAAGTGCACAAGGACAGGACGTCTCTATTTAAGGCCATCAAATCCTATTGAAAACGGGACCATTCTTTCTCCATGTTATATCTTGCCTGTATAGAATGCAGTTGAAAGTGTTGAGTCGACCTAATCCATTGTTTGACATATGCAGGAGCCTCTGTAGCTAATTTACAGTTAGTATTGTAATGTTTCAAGTTGCAAGCAGTGTTCAAATTTAGTTTTGGAAACTAGGTAAGCGTGGTTTATACTGACAACCAGTAGCTGCGAAAGAAATGCGATACAAGATTTGATCAATACAACCTTTTCGAACATTGCATTTAAGATGTCCCTTTGCTGAATATTTCCATCTTCTCTTCCCAACACATCTCACTTTCCAAAATGGCGGACCGGAAGTGAAGAACTAGCATTGTTCAAGAGACGCTGTTGAGACCTAGGAGCGCCAGGTAACATACACCAGTGTGAAGTGGCCTCTCCGTGGTCTTGAGATCTCTCTTGAATTCACGTAAATTCCAATACCACACGAGAATATGGATGAGAGTTCATTGCTATACACCTGCAGTACGGGAGTAGATGGAATACTGCAAGCATCCGGGGCATTGCACTTTGTTTAGTTGTCCAGGCGGGAAAGTATGTTACAAAGTAACCGTTCGTAGTAAATTTCATATAACTGATAAACTTACAACAGAAGCGTGTGTCATGAGGTCATCCTTGACAAACTCACAACAGAAGCGTATGTCACAAGGTCATCCTTGAAAAACTCACAACAGAAGCGTATGTCACAAGGTCATCCTTGACAAACTCACAACAGAAGCGTATGTCACAAGGTCATCCTTGACAAACTCACAACAGAAGCGTATGTCATGAGGTCATCCTTGACAAACTCACAACAGAAGCGTATGTCACAAGGTCATCCTTGACAAACTCACAACAGAAGCGTATGTCATGAGGTCATCCTTGACAAACTCACAACAGAAGCGTATGTCACAAGGTCATCCTTAACAAACTCACAACAGAAGCGTATGTCACAAGGTCATCCTTGACAAACTCACAACAGAAGCGTATGTCACAAGGTCATCCTTGACAAACTCACAACAGAAGCGTATGTCACAAGGTCATCCTTGACAAACTCACAACAGAAGCGTATGGCATAAGGTCATCCTTGACAAACTCACAACAGAAGCGTATGTCATGAGTTCATCCTTGACAAACTCACAACAGAAGCGTATGTCATGAGTTCATCCTTGAAAAACTCACAACAGAAGCGTGTGTCACAAGGTCATCCTTGACAAACTCACAACAGAAGCGTATGTCACAAGGTCATCCTTGACAAACTCACAACAGAAGCGTGTGTCATAAGGTCATCCTTGACAAACTCACAACAGAAGTGTGTGTCACAAAATCACCATCCTTTTCTCAATTTGCCAATTCTCACACCATCATTGACAAACGTGCAACAGGCGCTTATCTTATTAAGTTCCCATCCATTGTAATTCTTACAACATCCTTGACAAACGTGCAGCAGAAGCTTATCTTATTTAGTTCCCATCCATTGTAATCCTTACAACATCCTCGAAAAACTCACAAGAGAAGCGTATGTTACAAAATCACCATCCATTGTAGTTCTTACAACATCCTGGACAAACGTGCAACAGAAGCTAATGGTATAAAGTCGCAATCCTTGGAACCTCTCACACCATCCTTGGCAATCTCAAGTTAGGATGTATTAAGTTATTAAGTGGCGGTCACATCTTCCACCCAATCTGACGGCCTTCGTCCCTGTCTGTGTCCCGTGACCCCGTGACCCCGACCCAAGTGTTGACTATGTCCGCGAGGTCACACTTCCGACCAACCTCTCCATCAACACGCTCTTGTATTGGCTCCAAGTCTCCTTGTTGTACAACACGTCCTTAGCCTCATCAGTCGTGATGTACTCGCGTTGCTGAAATGTAAGTGTTCGGTGTTATGATGATAATCTTTAAATTTGAAGTTTACACGACATACGGCTTTTCCATTGGACGAGAGGTCGGTCACATGACAGCCAAATTGACCATCATAAGAATAGGAATGACACAATTTGACGTTCGTACGTTTTTGACGAGACCGTGTTCTTGAAATGGCGTAAACATAGCTTATGGTAAACTTTAAACAGTTTGGCCCTCACACTATGAGTGAGTGAGTGAGTGAGTGAGTTTTTTTTTTTTTAACGCCGCTTTTAACAGTATTCCAGTTATATCATGGCGTGTCAGCTTAATGTGGGAGGAAAGCCCGAAGTGATGCAGGTCTCAGACGTTTACCACTTCGGTGAAACCCACGAGCACGGGTATCTCACACTATGAAGGTTCAAACTCCAATGAACTTACACAAAGTGAAAGTCAATTCTTAATTAAAAATCCAAGCTATTTACGAAACAAGAAATTATAGGAACATTTTTTCGTCCTCACCGGGTACGTTTATCTATACAGAAATATGACATGTAACAGTTATCTGGACAATACAGTGAAACCTCGTTTTCCAGATGGTTACTGTTGAGCACGTCTATAGATCATTAAAGGAACATTATTGAGTATTAATTCGTCCTTAAATCTAATTACTGCTTCCTCAATCACGCAATTTATTCATCCTGATTTTACCGTCAGGACGATCGAGGTTTCACGGTTTCCAACGTGTCTATCACCTGTACTGAAGTCAATTTCCGTCCAGAGCGGAATACTTACCCCTTTGGACAGAGCGGAATACTTACCCCTTTGTACAGAGCGGAATACTTACCCCTTTGGACAGAGCGGAATACTTACCCCTTTGGACAGAGCGGAATACTTACCCCTTTGGACAGAGCGGATTACTTACCCCTTTGTACAGAGCGGAATACTTACCCCTTTGTACAGAGCGGATTACTTACCCCTTTGGACATAGCGCACACAACGCTGAGGTCAACCCCTCAAAGGCCCGGTTCCACAAAGCGACATAAGCGCAAAGACATGTTAACTCCAATATTTTACGACATATATTTACGACAGTCGTAACGCTAAGATCCCTTTGAGGGGTCGGGCCATGGTGCCATAATGACGGCGTGGTAGGCCAGCGGTTAAAGTGTTCGCTGGTCATGCCAAGGACCAGGGTTCGATTCCCCACATGGTACAAAGTTCCTTTTTGGATTCGGGTCGTATTGGTGTGACTCTCTCACTCACTCACTCCTGGTGCACTATACTTACCATAGTCTCCACTCTCAACATGGTGTTGTTCTGGGCGAACTGAAGGAAGAACCTCTTGCTGATCTTCACCACTTCCGCTCCGTCGCTCACCTGCGATCAACACAAGCTATATAAACGCCTGTTAAGTGTCCCCCCGATATTTAAAGAACAGGCGTTATTTGATCAAACAATATTTTAAAATATGTAACATTGAAAGATAATAATTGTTGTTGTTATATATTTTATTATATATATTTTATATAATATATTATTATTATTTAAGATAATAATACAACAATATTGATAATAATAAATAAATGATAAATAATAATAAACAGGATTAGTCTAAAATGTCATATTATTATTATTATTATTTACAGATAATAATACAACAATAATGATAATAATAAAAAAATAAATGATAAATAATTATAAGCAAACAGAGTAATAGTCGAAAATGTCATTTTATTATTTTTATTATTATTATTATTTAATACAAGACTTACTAGACTGATGGCAGGCCCCTCCATGTACGCCAAGGGGGGAGGGTCAAGGTTCTCTAGGCCCTGGAGGAGAGGAACAGGTTTGCATGTAAAACTATGTCACAGATACTTAAATGTGTGATGATACGAGAAACTAAATGGATTTAAGTATATAACTGTTATACTTATAACACATATTATTCACTAATGATGTACATAGCACGTATTTAATTTACAAGTGTTGCATATACTACACAGACCGCCTCCGTGGTCTAGTGGTAGAGCGTCCGCCCGGAGAGCGGAAGGTCCGGGGTTCGATCCCTGATCAACCTCCCGGCCGCGTCATACCAAAAGACGTTAAAAGATGGTACTTGTTGTTACCCTGTCTGGCGCTCGGCATTAAGGGGCTAAAACAAGGACTGGTCGGCTCGGAATCAGTATACTGTGTCTGAGTGGGGTATTCTTGTTAAACTGCGGCATGGTATCTCAGTGAGCTAGCACTATAAATCGGCATCAGTCCGGACTAGTACAAGCAGCCACACAAACACACACACGTACTTACACGTCGCTATATAAGTGCAATAATCTTCGACGCGACGTTAAACCCCATTTCACCTCACCTCACCTCATATAGTACACCCCACATTTTTCAGACTCCGAGCCGACCAGTCCTTCATTTATCCCCCTAATGCCGAGCGCCATGCAGGGTAACAACAAGTACTATCTTTTAACACTTCTCAGGTGTTTAGTATCACGCGGCCGGGGGATTAAACCACTGACCTTCCGCTCTCTGGGCAGACGCTCTACCCACTACGGCACGAAGACGACCGTTGTACTAAGCATGGGCATATTGTACAATGTTGTTATGCGAAACTTAGAACATACAACTGTTGCCTTGTTTCTTTTTTCAGATTCTGCAGCGGTTTATTTTTGTGTTTCGGAAATGACGATGGAACATATGATATAATATATAATGAGTGAGTGAGTGAGTATGATTTTACGCCGCTTTTAGCAATATTCCAGCAATATCACGGCGGGGGACACCAGAAACGGGCTTCACACAATGTACCCATGTCGGGAATCGAACCCGGGTCTTCGGCGTGACGAGCGAACGCTTTAACTTTAACCACTAGGCTTAACCCGACCGACCCTGATATAATATGAACAGATATAAAAGCATGTTTTCTGTTCGAAACTCGAGGCGATGTTAAATATTAATTAGTCATAGTCTAGTCATATAGAGTAGTCTCGGTAGTCTGGACACCCCACTTTCCGGACGATTTATTTTTGGAACAATTAAATGAAGACTTGTTATTTAACGCCGCACTCAGCCGCACTCAGCAATATTCCGGCTATAGGACGGCGGTCTGTAAATAACTGAGTCGGGACCACACAATCCAGTGATTGACATCATAAGCAACGATTTTTGCAATTGGGATACGATGCGATGCATCAACCAAGTCAGCGAGTCTGTGACATTACTTAGTAACCATGATGCGTTACTCCGTAAGATTATTTAGGAACGCTACCATTCGGATTAACGAGGTTTCACTGTTCTGAAAATGGACATCAGTCCATTATCTAACAGTGAGTGAGTGAGTATGATTTTACGCCGCATTTATCAATATTCCAGCAACATCACGGCAGGGGACTCCAGAAATGAGCTTCACACATTGTACCCATGTCGGGAATCGAACCCGGATCTTCAGCGTGACGAGCGAACGCTTTAACCACTAGGCTACCCGACCGCCCCCCTTTATCTAACATTCTATAGTCTATGCAGTATGGGTTTATAATGCATGATATAGTCCCAGAGAGTCGGGAATTGTACCAGCACACGCTAGTTGTGACAGACCGCAATAAGTAGGGTAAACATGCAGTGTTTGAAATAAAACTAAATACCAGGCTGCCACCAGGACAACAAGACTTTAGAAACAGCAGGCCCTGACGAAACTCTTCAGGAAATTTTAAAAAATACCTGCATCTTACTGTGACAAATGAATTGACACGTAAATTCACTGCAGGCTACAAGGACCCATACAACTTTGAAACTACGGCCTGACTCGAAATCTACATGCAGGCGCTTATTTCGAACACTGTATACATATATAAATGATATACTTTTACTAGAATGTAATTAGTAGCTAAACAAGCACGCAGTTAATAGTGAGTATAGGTAAGCACAGGCAATATGGTGAGACAAGTGAGTTGATATTTTTTTTAACTGTACTTCAGTTATACATTTACCATCTTCCCGAGGCAAAGGAGTTAACTGACTATGAAAGTCCAGTTTCCACCTTTGCCGAACTAGGTTTGTATTATGGAGTTACGTTTTGTCTGGACTAAAGAGTCTATGCATAGTCCAATCAAAATCGCGCACCGAAATCAAAATCCGGTCCGTAAATTGTCGGGCTGATTTCGATCGATTGCAGGATTTGCAAAGCATGTGCATCGCCAATTCGTTGTCAGCAGATATTTTCCAAATCCTTTCATGTTTTTAATCAAGGTGCTCACGTGATTTGATGCATTTCGATATGTAAGACCCGTTTAATCTCAATATAGATCTTGATTATCGATCAGATCGTCCTGGCTGGGCGCCACCATTTTGTGTGAAGCAAACGCAAGTGATACGAGAGGTGGAACCTGATTGGTCCATAGGAGAGGCTTAGAAGGGACATAATTGGTAATAGCCACTGGTTGCGCAACGATCGAGCCCAGTAATTCCAGCCTATTTCGGCAAGGATGGAAACTGGACTTTTAAACGCCCTTGCCTCGGGAAGATGTACATTTACATCAGGAGAACAGTCCGAAATGACGAACCCCTTTAGTGAAGACCATGATCGATGGTATGGTGGTGATGTACCCATAAATTATATCCCTGCCGAACTGAAGCAAGTCGAAAGTATTTTACACTTACATGGAATCCATGAGACAAATAACCATGTCATGACAGCCCGCTTACTCGTTCCGTGAAACTGCAGAGCACTGTGGTGATAGACCATAGATCATACCCAGGGCTTATCTGGGATTCGAACCAACCAGTAGCGTAGCCGGGCACGGATAAGGGAGACAACTCCTCACAGTTAATTGTGGCGCTTTGGACCATGCTTTGGACCACCCGTATCTCTAAGGAGAGGCGAGAACGAGAGAGAGACACACAGAGAGCCAAAGAGAGAGGGGGGGGGGAGACAGAGAGAGAGAGAGAGAGAGAGAGAGAGAGAGAGAGAGAGAGAGAGTTGTAATAGTAGCATTTAGACAGGTCATGCTCTATACTAGCATGCTAATCATATGCCGTACATTCTTAAGAGACGCCTTAATATGTGAATGTGATATTTTGGAAAGGAAGTTCCAATAATTGTGCTTGTTTAATTATCAAAGTTGACCTTTCATCGAATGGTCGTGTGTTTTTTCATGTTTATAAGTTTGTTGAACTACGTATACAACCCTTGCTGGGTTTGGATTTCAGAAGAAATTAAAAAAACAACATGCATTCACAATATCTGCCTAAGCGTCACCAAAGGATACACGGCGTACCCAATAACCATATGACGTCATAGCTTGATGACGTCATACAAACCTCATCATCCTTGGGTTGATATCTGAACTTTACAGCGATATCGTCCAGACCCTATAGTTAGGTATAAACGTCACAACACGTTAGGAACAACAACAAGCAAATAAACAAACTGCAAATAAAATATAGGTAATAACACACATCACTAAAGAGATAAGCGGGGATTACCTTAAGTGTACGTCAACAGACTTTAGGGGGGTGTTGAATCTGAGTTGGTGAACTAAATTCAGGTCGAACTATTCGAAAGGGTATATTTGTATGCGGTTTTTGTATTGTTTCGGTAATAAATATGCATCATTTTTGCAAATGAAGACTTATAGAAAAGTGACGTGTGTTTGAAATACATAGACACATCCAAACCATGCTTTATAATTGGTTAGGTTAAAACACATTGTTATGTTAACAAAACTCACATGTTTCAATTTGTACCGATATTTGAAAAAAATGCTTTTTGAAAAATAAACGGTCTTTTGTTATGGCTGGTTGTTCATATGCGATAAATAAGCCAAACACTGTCTACAATATTGGTGAAGAAATACAAAGAAAAAACTCCAACAACATTGATTAAAACTGAAATAATTAACAATAATTAATTTACTAAACATTGCTCTTCGACACAAAGGCTCTTTGTGAAAGGAATAAAAACGGACGATCTTGACTTTTTTTTATAAAAGGACGAATAAACTCCAAAAACAAATTTAGCAATAATGTTATACAACGGCAAACATGATGTTAGCTCCCCGCTCCCACATATTCCCACTTACAAACACGTCCCCCGGGCTGAGGGTGTCCAGCTGAAGATACGCCCTCCTCTGGATCAGGTCTTTCTTTCTTCCAGGGGAGAGGCCAGCATCAAACTCCGTCTTCTCACGGGTGAGGAACGTACCGTGAGGGGTCATGTGATCTGCCCCCCTCGGAGTGGACTTAGCCAAGGTGGCACTACCCCGGGGATTTGTCCCCGGCTGTTTAGGGGTGGGGTGGGTTACAACTATTGGAGGAAGCTGGAAATGGTCTTTGCTTTTCTGAAAGAGTAGATGAGTAATATGGGAATTATAGGGTTGATAGAAAACATGAATTCATAAATTGCCGGGCAAAAGAAAGTGTACACTTGAACATTGGATTTGAGCAAAAAATTTGAAACTTTTTCAGAAGGTTACTAGGCTGAATTTTTTTGGTCCAAACACTGTAAACGTAAGATCCATACAATATTTATGAATCAAATACATCACCATCGAAAAAACATTTTTGTTTGTTTCATTTTTAGCCTCCGTCAAACATGAGTGAATACTTTCTTCTGCTGGCAGTTTATGTATGTTTGTTGTTTAACGCCGCGCTCACCAATATTCCAGCTATATGACAGCGGTCTGTAAATAATCGAGTCTGGACAAGACAATCCAGTGATTGATGTCATGAGATCGACCCACGCAATTAGGATACGATGACATGCATCAACCAAGTCAGCGAGTCTGACCACCCGAACCCGTTAGTCGCATCTTACTGCAAACATGGGTTGCTGAAGACCTATTCTACCCTAGATCTTCACGGGTAAGTTTATATATGTGAGGTGAGGTGAGGTGAAATCGGGTTTAACGTCGCATCCATGATTATTGCTTTTATATAGCCATATGTGTGTGTGTGTGTGTGTGTGTGTGTGTGTGTGTGTGTGCGTGCGTGCGTGCTTGTATAGCTGCTTGTACTTCCGGACTAATGCCGGTTTCATAGTGCTAGTTCACTGAGATATCATGCCACAGTATAACATGGAAACTCTTCACCAAGTCTAATGACTCCAAGATGGTCATCAAGTAGAGTTTGGTTTAACGCCGCTTTTAACAGTATTCCAGTTATATCACGGCGTGTCAGCTTAATGTGGGAGGTCTCAGACGTTTACCACTTCGGTGAAACCCACGAGCACGGATATGGTGCTGACAAACCTAGAAACATAATTGGGGCGAACGGGGATTCGAACCCACAATCATAGGTTTCTGGCGTGTCCAAGGGACGCAACTCTGCGTAGCGACTGGACCACCAGTGCCCTCTATTCCAGTAGAGGTGAGGTGAAATAGGGTTTACCGTCGCGTCCAAGATTATTGCAGACACAGTATACTGACTCCGAGCCGATCAGTCCTTGTTTTAGCCCCTTAATGCCGAGCGCCAGACAGGGTAACAACAAGTACCATCTTTTAACGTCTTTTGGTATGACGCGGTCGGGGATCGAACCCCGGACCTTCCGCTCTCCGGGCGGACGCTCTACCTCTAGACCACGGAGGCGGTCCTATGCCAGTAGAATATGTCATTTACTATACATATATGCAATGAAAAAAAGCATCTGGACATAAATGCAATAACATTATAGTAAAAGTCTTCTTTGGGACAAAAAGTACAGTTACTCAACGTGTAAGATTATTCTATGTAACTGTTTTTCAATCCATATTTCGCAAAATATGAAGAAAAATATAAACAAGCAGAAAAATGGAATATTGTCAGTAATGGTTATTGTATGTACACTTTATTGACTGATTGATTGAATACATTCCTACATGTATTTGAAAGCTTAATACCTTTTCTGGTGAGTCTGTGGGTGAGGACCCCGGAGACCGTTGTCCCCCTGGGGTGGTGGAGGGAGTGGTAGAGCCGGGGTTGGGGCAGGCTGAGGTGGGGCTGGTTGTCACGTGTTCAGGTTCAGCAGCAGGATCCTCTGGAGTAATAAAGTTAGCTATCATGGTTATCACTTCTCAAGAAAATGTGCTCAACAAAATATTATCAGTGCACATATGTTTGAGATAAGACTAACTTGGATCATCTAGCGTATTATATCGTCATTGTATTATTGTCATTCTCCGCGGATTCATTCAGTTTGCGACCCGTGAAGAAGCGACCCGGGTAGAATCATCTTCCTGAGGCAAGGGAGTTAACTGACTTTAAAAGTCCAGTTTCCACCCTTGCCGAACTAGGCTGGAATTACTGGGCTCGATCGTTGCGATCGTTGCGTCCCTTGGGCACGCCAGAAACCTATTATTGTGGGTTCGAATCCCGGTTCGCCCCGATTATGTTTCTAGGTTTATCAGCACCATACCCGTGCTCGTGGGTTTCACCGAAGTGGTAAACGTCTGAGACCTGCATCACTTCGGGCTTTCCTCCCACATTAAGCTGACACGCCGCGATATAACTGGAATATTGTTAAAAGCGGCGTTAAACCCAACTCACTCACTCACTCACTCTCAAAATGGTGGCGCCCATTCAGGACGATCTGGTCGATAATCAAGATCTATATTGTGATAAAACGGGTCTTACATCGCGAAATGCATCAAATCACGTGAGCACCTTGATTAAAAACATGAAAAGATTTGGAAAATATCTGCTGACAACGAATTGGCGGTGCACATGCTTTGCAAACCCTGCAATCGATCGAAATCCGCACGACAGTTTACGAACCGGATTTTGATTTCGGTGCGCGATTTTAATTGGACTATGCACAGACTCGTTAGTCCAGACAAAACGTAACTCCATAATACCAGCCTAGTTCGGCAAGGGTGGAAACTGGACTTTTATAGTCAGTTAACTCCTTTGCCTCGGGAAGATGGGTAGAATAGGTCTTCGGTAACCCATGCTCGCCCAGCCTGGTTCCCTGGGTATGCTGCGCTGGCGCAGTGTAGCGCCCGCGCAGCATACCCAGGGAACCAGGCTGATGCTTGCCGTAAAAGGTGACTCTTCTTGTTGTAAGAGGCGACTAAGGTGATCGGGTGGTCAGGCTCGCTGACTTGGTTGATGCATGTCATCGTATCTCAACTGCGTAGATCGATGCTCATGATGCCAATCACTGGATTGTCTAGTCCAGACTCGGTTATTTACAGACCGCCGTCATATGGCTGGAATGCGGCGTTAAAAACAAACAAACAAACAAACATTCAGTCTGCACATCGGTTTTACGATTCATGCCTCAAAGAACCGAAACAAAATACACAGGCAATTGTACCTTTCTCTATAAAAGTGGTTGATTTTGATTTCTTGCGGTTGTGCGATCTGTCAGTCAGTGACCCAGCTGATAGACGTCCATTCAACTTCCGCCGCTTCATCAACTACAAAGATAGATGGGTGAATGTAACAACAAATCAAGCTTCTGAAACGTATTCAAACTTTATTCAACATTAGTGTATTCCTGCTGGGGACTGCTGCGTCACGAGAAGCGCACGTAACTGTTCTCTAACTGTTCTGTGTGTCACAAGGCATGGGGCACGACAGCCTACAAGTCTAAGGCGACGCAATTCACAGCGCAGAGTTGCATCCCTTAGCCAAGCCAGGATCAGTTGGTTGTGGGTTCAAATTCCAGATCCAGCTTTAGGATACTTGGTCTGTCAGTACCATGACCGTGCCCCACATGGGTACAATGTGTGAAACCCATGTCTCATGTTCCCCGCCGTGATATTGCTGGAATATTGCTAAAAGCGGCGTAAAACCATACCCACTCTCATAACCGTGTTCGAGACATAATCAAAATGGTATTCGTAGCGGCTTAAAACTATCCCCAGTCACCCTCTCACTCGCAAATCTCCAATAAATGTGTCCTATTTGAGAAGTGTAATTTAAGATTTCAAAGTGAAAAGTTCATTTCACATTACTGACTATTTACCTACCTGAGTGCGTGTATACATGCTCCAAATGGAAGTTATAGCTTAGACACAAGGGCACAACAACAACAATAATCACAACAACAATAGCAACATTATTATTATTATTATTATTATTATTATTATTGTTGTTGTTGTTGTTGTTATTGTTATATAGAAATATATCACTTCGGGCTTTCCACCCACATTAAGCTGACACGCCATGATATACGTAACTGAAATACTGTTAAAAGCGACCTCAAACCCAACTCACCCACTCACTCACCATTTATATTGCGCTATATTTCCGCACCACAAAGGGACATGCTTAAAGCGCTACTAGCCTATACACTATTACCCCGGCCACTGGATCAGTGTGCACTCGATTCCATTCTCAGCTCCCTGGGGTGCATGCAACTCAATCTGCCTGTGAGGCGGTAGAAGGTTAACCGTCATCCTACCTGGTACCCATTCACAACTGCACGAACAGAGTCATATTTCGAACAAAGCCACTTGCCTAATGAGACACCACATGTGCTACATGTGTGGGGCAGGACCAAAGCTGAAGAAACTCTCAGAGTCAAGCCGTCACCCATCCAACTACTCACCGCCACCAACGTGGCTTAACTATGCGCTGTACACATGACCACGTGCCACCACGTAATATCAAATATTGTGAAGTAAAACAACACTCACACACTCTCACTGCCTGACATCTTACCTCGGGTAGATTGATGTCACTCTGACCCTTCAGTTTCCGCTGTTTAGCCAGTAGTCCAAGCATATCTGACGAATATACAGCAGCAATGTTGTACGAGCAGATACTTACAATTCTTAACTAAATCCCTAGAACATTGCACAGTGAGAAGCAAAGTTTAACACAACTCACTCACCCATTCCGGGTATCATGGCACATCGATATCTGATATGGATACGCGGGTTATCTTCCAAATCATACCTCTTTCATTTTGATTTCGAAGATCCGAGGTATCACAACACCTATGATTGTGGGTTCGAATCCCGGTTCGCCCCGATTATGTTTCTAGGTTTGTCTGCACCATACCGGTGCTCGTGGGTTTCACCGAAGTGGTAAACGTCTGAGACCTGCATCACTTAGGGCTTTCCTCCCACATTAAGCTGATACGCCGCGATATAACTGGAAAACTGTTAAAAGCGGCGTTAAACCCAACTCACTCACTCACTCACTCTTACCAGAGGCATGGCTAAATGCCCTTCCGCAACCTAGTTCCTCTGTGTTCTGTGACGCGAACATAGTATCATTCCGCACGTCCACAACGAACTGAACACGAACTACTTTCACGTTCCCCTGAAAAAAGTAAAATAAATGAATTTCAACGCTTTAACCACAAGGCTCCTCATCCGCCGATGAACGATCTGGTGGAGTACCATTACGCACAGCCATCCTCAATAGTCCTGGGTATTATATCGCTATTCAATTACGATATATACCTTGGACCCAGAGCTTCGTTTTGAGACCGATTGGAATAACACGATGATAAAATGAACGAACGGAATTCTGTGCTAAGGTATTGACAGAGAGCTGCATATAAAGATAGTGACGTCACTTCTGAATGGGTCCAGAGAATATATCGTAAAAGAATGAAGGTACAACACCCTGATCAGTCGTGGATGGTTTACAGCAATCATGGGTTTCATAATAACAATACCGATGCCGGACCTAGCTTGCTAGCGATCAAGGTAAGGTGAAATTGGGTTTAACGTCGCGTCCAAGATTATCTAGCGACGTGCATGCACATGTGTGTGTGGTTAATTTGTACTAGTCCGGACTGATGTCGATTGATAGTGCTAGCTCATTGATATACCATGCCGCAGTTTAACATAGATACCCCACTCAGACACAGTATACCGACTCCAAGCCGACCAGTCCTTGTTTCAGCTTCTTAATGCCGAGCGCCAGACAGGGTAACAACAAGTACCATCTTTGAACGTCTTTTGGTATGACGCGGCCGGGGATGAAACCCCGGACCTTCCGCTCGCCGGGCGGACGCTCTACCACTAGACCACGGAGGCGGCCGCTAGTGATCAAAGTGGAAGCCGTCGTTGTATTGCCGAAATATTGCCGATTATGATATGAAGTCAAATGATAACACATTAAAACGAAGCGATCACTGTAACGGGATCCGCTGTCGTTTGTTCGAATCCAAAATTCGCTTTGATCACGAGCCCAGTCGCGTAAGGCGCTGCAATTCCTATACAGAGTTGCGTCCCTTATACGCGGCCCACAAACCCAAGGTTGTGGGCTGGAGTCCCAGATTTTCCCTGAATATTGATCATTCAGATCGTGGGTTTCTGCATCAGTTCGGGCTTTGCTCCCACATTATGCTAACACAGTGTGGTATTACTGAATATTGTTGAAAGCTGCTTGAGGTTCTACTACACAAAATCAGAACCAGTTGGGACAGTGCGGTTTTAGAGCCTTCAGTGCAGATCGAGAGATATCTGCAGGCTGTGATTGGAGGATATTGTGTACGATTTTATGTCTTTTAAATGTACATCCATCCATTTATTAAAACTGACCATGTTTTTCTTTATTTAGTACTGTCTTTTTCAACATGATGACTTATGCTGAATGTGACCACAGCTATTTTCAAGTAGGTGACATTTGGTGCGAAACTGGGGTCGGTGTGTTTAGCTTCCTGTACTCGGAAAAGGAGCTGGTTAAGCTAGTCATTTATTTTGTTTTTATTGCTGCTCTAAGGCCAAACTGTGCACACACGTACATGTAATAGCTGTTGAATGCTTAGTTATTTAAGAAAATATATAACGTTACTATAGAAGCCCATGGGAAAACATTTGGTTGTGTGTAACCTTGAACGTAACAAACTCTATGTGAAGTTGTACTTACCGATTTTATAACGTAAATCCAAGGTGAATTGTGAGCATCTTTTGCTATTACTCGATTCTGACTGAAACACGAACACATGAGATGCAGTGGGCGATACTTACACATGCTAATTACCATACACATCATTAATAGGTCCATTCGCTGTGCAGAGTTGCGTCCCTTGGGCAAGCCAGAAATTTATGATCGTTGGTTCGAATCCCGGTTCGCCCCGATTATGTTTCCAGGTTTGTCAGAACCACATCCGTGCTCGTGGGTGTTACCGAAGAGGTAAACGTCTGAGACCTGCATCACTTAGAGCTTTCCTCCCACGTTAAGCTGGCACGGTGTGATATAACTGGAAAGTACTGTTCAAAGCCGCGCTAAACTCACTCAATCCTTAACAGGTTATATCGCAAATAAGTTGGCAAGTCAGAAATACATAAACGTGCTGTTAATATGAACTCTCTGATAAGACTCATTAGAAGACAACTATTTGCTGGTCGTAACGTTAGAGGTGGCTAAATGGATCGGGTGGTCGGGCTCAGTGACTTGATCGTCTGATTACATATATATCCCCATCCCCCCCCCCCCCCCACCCCACCCCCCCACCCCCACCCCCACCCCCACCCCCCACGCCCCGGATATAAAACTGACATTGATGATATTGATTGATTGTACATAAAAAAAATATATAGAAAAATTGCATTTCAGTAACCTCATTGACCTGTTTTCACCTCCAAAAATGAAAATAAAAACGTTTATCCGGTCCACACAAATCAATCGATTTTTTAACGTTTTCCCAAAAAACAAATCTTTAGTTGGGAATTATGCCCCTTTGTATAGAAGTTGACGTTTCCAACAGTAACCCAACTGACTAACTTATTCAGGCCTAGAGGCCGATTAGGTCTCATGTTTGTTTGTTTATTGTTGAACACCACACTCAGCAATATTCCAGCTATTAACGGCGGGCTGTAAATAATCGAGTCTGGAGCAGACAATCCAGTGATTGACATCATGAGCATTGAACTAAGCAATTCGGATACGATGACATGCATCAACCAAGTCAGCGAGCCTGACCACCCGATCCCGTTAGTCGCCTGTTGGGACAAGCATGGGTTGCTGAAGACCTACTCTAACCCGGATCTACACCGGTAAGGTCTCATGTAATAAGCCTCAGTGGGCTGACGTTGTGTTACCCGTAGTAGGTGAACTCTATGGCGTCATGGTTGTGCAGGAACTGGTCGCAGGGGAACTCCTTAAACAAGTCCAGTGACCTGGGAGGGAAACATGTCACCATGAATATTGACTGTGATGATAATCACTGACAGCAAATCCTAGGAAGTTAAATCATAACAAAATTAACATCGTCGCATGACGTAATAAAGTGTATTTATGTTATTGACATTGACTATATGTTTGTTTCATATATTGTGATGTATATGGCAACCTAAACAAGGTTAGCTGAAGCTTCTTCCTGGCAGTTGTATGCAGATATATCAGTAAGCTACTGGGACGGGTATGTTACGGGTATTCTAGGGGTATGCTACGGGTATGTTTGGGAAATGTTACGGGTATGTTACGGGAATATTAAGGAAATGTTTCGGGTATTCTACGGGAATGCTACGGCTATGTTTGGGAAATGTTACGGGTATGTTACGGGAATATTAAGGAAATGTTTCGGGTATGCTACGTGAATGTTACGGGTATGTTACGGGAATGCTATGGGAATATTACGGACATGTTACTGGAACGTGACGGGTATGTTACGGGTATTCTAGGGGTATGCTACGGGAATATTACGGGCACGTTACGGGTATGCTACGGGTAACCTACCATAGAAAGTCTATAGGTGGGCTCTGGGTTGTGTGCTGAAGTCGGATGAAATCCTGAAAGTAAAACATCTCTGTTTATTATTCTATGGAAGCAATGTTAATACAGAGCTTTATCATTATGCACATACTAACACCTCTGAAACGAGGGATCAATATCTAGATACTGCCAATACCTGGGTAAAACTCTCTCGCCTACTCGAATGCACATTGACCAGATTTTCTGTTTCTCAGAGTCAAACCCACTTGCATTAGAAACGACTCTGACATAGGTAGCTGTTTGGATCAAAGTCATGTACTGCGTTGCTATGGTTACTCACATCTCTGTGTAACATCAAAACCTCAACGGGTCCCTTGGCAACCAGGTGAAACTCACTGGGAAAGGTGCCCTCCACATCCTCCGGCTGAAAACAAAGGAGCACAGATGCAATGATACACATGACACGTGATTACGGCGAAACCTCGTTAATCTGGACGGTACCTTGCCATTGTAACCGTCTGGTTAGACCCATGTCCGGATTAACGAATCACGACTATGGAGGGATGTTCCCTTGTATATGCACATATGTTCCCAACAAGATCGTCCATGATTAACAGGGTCCTGGGAAAAGAGGTTTCACTGTATATGATGGTGCCAGCTGTACAAAGCGATCTTAGCGCTAAGGTAATCGTAACTCCCATACCTTAAGGTTAGAGGTACGACAGTCGTAGCGCTAAGGTTGTTTTGTACAACGGCACCCTGGATCGTAATATGAACAACAAAAGTGTTAACTACGTTACTTCATCGGGTGAAACCCCGTTAGGCCGGACAATTAACGCTTTGGAAAATTATAGTTGGGCACGTAAGCATTTGTTTGTTGACTTGTTAATCCGTCCCATTTCTATAGGAACGATACTCTTGATTAACGGGGCTTAGTTTTTGGTTTGAGTTAAGCTACATTTCCTTTCAATGTGTAGGAACGAAAGCTTATTCCTTAGAATAGTCGCTTTTACTTTTCTTTTTTACATTCATATTTTGTTTTCTGCTTTCGTGATGAAAGTGGAACTTAAAACAGTTTTCTTTTCGCAATTAAACGATTTATTGGTATTATGTTGCATTGCCGTCTATTTCGTATAATATATAAACCAAACTCTAGCCATGGCGGTGGTAAAACTCTGCTGTCAACATGATCTAAGGGTAGTAATCAGGACGGAGACAAACATACCCGCGATCTACGAGGATGGAGTTTCATAAAATTAATACTCACGTTTGACGTCATTCCCTTGCTGAGGAAACCCATGGATTTGTTTATACAGCCTGACGTCAGTCGGTACTCCCTAAGTCGCTGGACTGGAATATAGGTACATTAAACTGCGGTTATAACGAACTCAAAGGGACAACACCTTTTTTGTTCGTTATAACCGTAGTTCGTTATATGCATATATACAGCATATATACAGCAAACGAACGGGATCAAAACACGTTTCGTTATAAACGTGTTCGTTATAAACGTAGTAACACTGTATAGAATATACAAAAACCCAAATACATTCCATACATGCATATAAGAATGTATGCATGCACACTATACATTTTACACATGCATACCTAGATATATACGTATGCATGTGCACACCTATATTTAACCTACACGCACACACACGAACCTCATGCTGTATACATAGGTGAGGTGAGGTGAGGTGAGGTGAGGTGAGGTGAGATGAAATTGGGTTGAATGTCGCGTCCAAGATTATTGCACTTACATAGCGACGTGCATGTACGTGTATGTGTGTGTGTCGCTGCTTTTCTAGTCCGGACTGATGCCGATTTATAGTGCTAGCTCATTGAGATACCATGCCGCAGTTTAACATGAATACCCCATTCAGACACGGTACACTGACTCCGAGCCGACCAGTCCTTGTTTAAGGCTCTTAATGCCGAACGCCAGACAGGGTAACAACAAGTACAATCTTTTAACGTCTTTTTGTATGACGCGGCCTGGGATCGAGCCCCGGACCTTCCGCTCTCCGGGCGGACGCTCTACCACAAGACCACGGAGGCGTTCGCTGTATACATAAACGCATACCCACGAACTCAACATGCACCCTCACATTACACTGCCTTACAATCAGCATACTCCCTAGGGAGCTGAGAATACAATCGAGTGCACTCTAGTCCAGTGACCGGTATGATAATAGTGTAACGCTTTGAGCATGCTCCTGTGTGGTGTTGAATTATAGCGCAATATGAATTATTATGATTATTATGATTATCCCAACATGTCATCCACACACTCCCTCACAAATATATATTTTTAATATCCACTCACACACTCATCCATCCACTCACTCATCCACCCGTTCATCTATTGAAACATTGCGTGTTCAGATGTACATGCATATTATCCACCCACTCACTCATCGACTCGTTCATCCACTGAAACATTGCATGTTTAGATGTACATGCAGATTATTCACCCACTCACTCAACTCATCCACCCGTTCATCTACTGAAACATTGCGTGTTTAGTTGTACATGCATAATATCCACTCATTCACACGTTCATCTGCTGAAACATTGCGTGTTTAGATGTACATGCATAATATCCACCCATTTACTTATCCACACGTTCATCTACTGAAGCATTGCGTGTTTAGATGTACATGCATAATATCCACTCATTCACTCATCCACACGTTCATCTGCTGAAACATTGCGTGTTTAGATGTACATGCATAATATCCACCCACTCACTCATCCGCCCGTTCATCTACTGAAACATTGCGTGTTTAGATGTACATGCATAATATCCATCCATTCACTCATCCACCCGTTCATCTACTGAAACATTGCGTGTTTAGATGTACATGCATAATATCCACTCATTCACTCATCCACCCGTTCATCTACTAAAACATTGCGTGTTTAGATGTACATGCATAATATCCACTCATTCACTCATCCACCCGTTCATCTACTGAAACATTGAGTACGTTCATCTGCTGAAACATTGCGTGTTTAGATGTACATGCATAATATCCACTCATTCACTCATCCACCCGTTCATCTACTGAAACATTGAGTACGTTCATCTGCTGAAACATTGCGTGTTTAGATGTACATGCATATTATCCACCCACTCGCTCATCTCCCGTTCATCTGCTGAAACATTCATATTTTAGACAGGTTTGGGGGAGGGGGCAGGTGTCGCAACTCGTACCAAAAAATCTAACTCGGACTATTTTAAAAGGCAAAACATTAACAATTGGACTAGCCTCAGGGATTGAAGAGAAACGGGGGTAGGGGTGGACTGGTAAAAGCGTTAGCTCGTAATCTTTTAAAGACCTAGATTCGATTCCCACATGGGTACAATATGTGAAGCCCATTTCTGGTGTCCCTCGACACCAACATATGGTTTGAATATTTCTAGAAGTGGCGCAAAACTTGTTAACTCACTCACTAGAAAGAGAAACATGTTTTTATATGATAATGTGCCATTTCCCATCGAGACTCCAGCTTCAAGGAGGACACAGGTAGCCCAGTGATCAAATCACCATCGTTATAAACCTTTTAACCAACTTACTTCTTCCAGAGAGGATATAGTAGAATCTCTCCGGCGCCCGGCCCTGGTAGGCGAGATGGCGATTGTCATCGTACCTGTGATACATCATTATATCAATATTAAACAATACATCAGACTCGTCTACTTTCAACATAGTTATACGAGGCAACATAAACGTACATAACTGACATAACATGAAATATCTTTCAAATAAATCGATCATGGTTGAGAAGGACTTAAAGGGGCACTGATCTAACGCAATTCCCCGGACTGGTTGTTGCCTTTGTTATTGTTTTTTCCCCCGTGGGTACCCGGATGATACGCAACGCAACTGAGCGTGACCAGAGACTGGGCTACCGTCTGCAAGGACAGCTAAATAAACTTGGAGGCTGGAGGCAATATTTGTTTTACGCATTTTTGCATAAACACTGATTTGTTAACCGTGATCTAAAAAGATTTCGACAAAGGGCGCATGTTAACTAATTTCTTCAGCCTAAACTAACAGACAACAAGAACGGCGGAGCTCATCGGATGTCGTCATTTGGAAATACCCCAGATGGTTATAGTCAACACTAACAAAAGTATCCATGCAGTGAAAGCATTTTCGGTTTTTCGGATTGCGTCGATAATACGATTACTACTCCCTTGTTGTCATCCACGTTTTCTCGCATAACCCTACACTTGTGTATTTGTCGTCATTCACTTGATGCTCAGTTAATGAATTTATTACAGGTACAATTAGTGGTAGCACCACATAGATTACCTGACAAAGGTTCCCATTTGGCATTTATTGTGTCTGGGGTAATTATTCAATCTAAATCCAGGTTTGAAGTGAGGTAAAATGTGTGTTATGTAATATGCACGTGGCAGACCAGCAAGAGGGGAATGATCAGTTGATTTACTTTTTTTTGTAAATCAACGGATCGTTCCTAGTCATCAAAGGATTAACAGAAAATACGTTGATTGATTAATCACTGTTATCTTGCACAGTGGATATGTCAAAAGTGAGTGTTTACATGTCTAGGTTTACTAAAACAAAGGGAATACACACATATCATGGCGTGAAGTGCTGATGTAAAAACAACATACTTTGTTCAAATGGTGAACTGATAATACGTTGATTGATTGATCATTGTTATCAATCAATCAATGGATTTTTTAGGAACCGTGGACGTTATGAAAATAGTTGTCACGTGGGCTTTCTCAGCTGACCCTTGAGACTTGACACCTATGTGAAACACTTGAAACAATCCATGTGATCAGTTGAGAAACGAACACGGGTTATAATATCCCGAAACGATATATATATTTTAAAATATGTGATTGTTACAGAGACACGTGACATCGAATAGGTTTCTTTGTACAGCTGCAGACGAATGGGATATTGTTCCTTTGTGTGGATATTCACGGATACATTCCTCGAACAAGGAAGCTGCCTAAAATTTATACACATAAATTTGGTAGGTTGTAATTATGGTATTTGCATTTTGTTTTCCTTCATTTGCTGTAGCATTGAACCGATTCGTCCTTGTTTCTCTACGTCTTAGTTGGGAAATTCTTCAATGCGCGATATACGTTGTTTTCACAGGCCTTTTCCCTTGTAAGCGTGTATATATTACCGTCAATTTGTAAAATGTAATTCTCTCAGGCAATTTATAAAATGTGTAAATATTTCAGTCATTTTGACTAAAAAATCTGTCCAGATTGATTAAGGCGATCAAAAGGGCCTACAAACATCACAACAGATTATTATATAGGATTAGAAGCCAAACAACATAGAAATGTACTTTTCAACGTAACATTTTCAGTCTCTTGGTGATGACATTAAACATCAAAATGTTTGGAATTCGTTATCATAATAATACAGATGGAAATGTTTTTCAGTCACTTTGTTAAATAACTGAATATTTAGGCGCTGAATAAATTTGAAAATGTTACACATTTTGACAGTAAAAAATATACACACTATCAAAAAGCAATGCTCAGGTGAAATATTTACTTTGTGTTGCAAGTCAAAATAGTGTAAACGAAAATCGCAAAATTACCAAGCAAGTGACTTATCAAAACTTCTTCACCATTACCGATGCTAACCACAAAGATACCTACATTTCCTTATTATCTCCAAAACTGTATTTCATTTTGTTGATCAATGTGACCATACGCCCTCTATATTACTACCCATACAAGTGACTGTTGCGCTTACGAATGGCGCAGCAGAGGTCGCGAACTAGTCTAGATTTCTGCTATACATCCGGGTACTCACTGGGAAAAAACAATAACAAAGGCAACAACCAGTCCCGGGGAATTGCGTTAGATCAGTGCCCCTTTAAATCAACACAACATAAACGTGAAATCAACACAACCTTAACGTGAAAACAACACAACATAAACGTGAAAACAACACAACATAAACGTGAAAACAACACAACATAAACGTTAAAACAACACAACATAAACGTGAAAACAACACAACATTTTATAAACGTTAAAACAACACAACATAAACGTGAAAACAACACAACATAAACGTGAAAACAACACAACATAACCGTGAAAACAACACAACATAAACGTGAGAACAACACAACATAAACGTGAAAACAACACAACATAAACGTGAGAACAACACAACATAAACGTGAGAATAACACAACATAAACGTGAAAACAACATAACATAAACGTGAAAACAACAAAACATAAACGTGAAAACAACACAACATAAACGTGAAATCAACACAACATAAACGTGAAAACAACACAACACGCTAACGCCGAGAGGGCTATTTAAGTGTATGTGTTACGTAGATCACTGAAATATAAGCAACAAAACACTTTCCATATTCAATGGAAATCTTTGCTAAAATCAGAGTCGATTGTACGATTCCGACTATATCACGAGCATGTGTTTAAGAATCACTACCAAATAGCGATGATACCAGGTGTTCGCGAAAAGAAATCAGACAAGCAATCACAGCACTATGACAACCCAATTTTCACAGGGGACTAGGCACGGATCGGTTGGCATTATTTTCAGAGGACAAGGTATGATAAGGGCACGTGTCGTCCACAGTATTTCCATATCTTATAAAATGAACGAAACTTTTATGAGGTTTTCAGGAGGCATTTTTTAAATATTTGAAAATGTGCATGTCTTTGAATCAAGTTTTCTTAGATGTAGATACATACAGTGCAAGACAAAAAAGGCTAGTTGTCAACAATAAACATTGCTGATAATTTACATACCAATATAAGTTTTCAATAACTCCAAAATTCTACATTTCTTGCGGGCTAAAAAGGTTCCCCTATGTCTCTTTTTATTAATAATTCTTGTACATTCTACAACTTTTGTGTCTGGTAGCTCATGTTATGTATATCTGTCTAGTTAATGATGACTCTACTATCACACAGTTTCATTCCAGTCACTATTTACAATGGGTAGACCTGGGCTCACTTGCACAAAGCGATCTTAGCGCTGCGACTAGTGTAAGCCTATGTTAAAATATGGGAGTTACGATCATCGCTGGCAATAGCCAGAGTGTGGAACATGGTCTCCCTGTATAGTACTGGAGTACGGTAGTCACAGAATGGAATGCGGTCTTGGCATTGCCTTCTCTTGTGAGTGAAAGGGGTTTCTTGTCCAAGTTAGCAGGCGAGGAAAACAAACCATATCGTCGGTTACGAAGATACACATCTAGAAAGGCCACAGTATAGACTACGGTTATAACGAACTCGAGGGACCACTATGTTTAGTTCGTAATAACCGTAGTTCGTTATAAGCATACAGCATATATAAATTTACAACAAATGATCTTGACTAAAAATAAGTTCGTTATATCCGTCAGTTCGTTATAAGCGTGTTCGTTATAAACGTAGTTTACTGTACTAGTATATCCCTGATATAAACCCACTGAGGTTCTGTGACTGTTCAGATATTTTCACCAGTGGTTTCTCTGTTTGATCACCTAGGACACCAAGTGTCTGGCAGCAGGATATCGCGAGCTTGACATAAACGAATCACAAGAACCCTACGCCTATAGAGCTACCTGGCAAAAGAAAGCACACACCCGTGTGTGTTGGTGGTTAATATGAAACAAACAAGAATCGATTACCGATGGTGATGCATTTGATACGAGTTATATACAGTAAACTACGGTTATAACGAACACGCTTATAACGAACTGACGGATATAACAAACTTACTTTTTTGGTCCGACTATTTGCTGTAGTTATACTGTATATATACTTATAACGAACTACGGTTATAACAAACTAAAATTAGTAGTCCTTTTGAGTTCGTTATAACCGTACTTTACTGTAGCTGTTTTGAACCTTAAGCAGTGTTCCGGAGCCTGTTTTCAGCTTGGTGCGGTTTTGGTCAAATCCGATTTCCAAGTGTTTACTTTCTTTTGCCCGGCTGTTTAGTTAAAATAACGGCTTACAACTCTTTTTTGTCCCTTCTTGGGGCAGTACGAGAGGGAAATTGACAAGGGACACCCACCTTTCGTATGCGACAACTCGGGCTAGCTCCCTCTCCATCTCCGATGGGAACAGATGCTTGAAGGCCTTCGTGGCGCGCAGCACCCACGACACCTGCATTGAGAGAGAGAGAGAGTGAGTGAGTGAGTGAGTGAGTGAGTGAGTGAGTGAGTGAGTGAGTGAGTGAGTGAGTGAGTGAGTATGGTTTTACGCCGCTTTTAGCAATATTCCAGCAATATCACGGCGGGGGACACCAGAAATGGGCTTCACACATTGTACCCATATCGGGAATCGAACCCGGGTCTTCAGCGTGAAGAGCGAACGCTTTAACCAGTAGGCTACCCGACCGCCCCTGAGAGAGGGAGGGACGTCTTCTATTTGACTAACAGGCATAATTCGTGACCAGGGCACCGTTCCACAAAGTGATCTATCGTAAGCCAGTGTTAAAGTATGGGAGTTACGATCACCTTAGCGCTAAGATAGCTTTGTGGAACGGGCCCCAGGCGAAAAGGAACCTTATGGGTGCTGGGATACAATTGAGATATGACGTCATTAAGAAACACGTGTGACGTCAGCTTACTTCCGTTAAAAAATGTGTGCAGACTGCACAAAATTATTATTTTTTTCACCCCTTAGATCGTAATGTAATAACATTATTTCAAAACATTTCAGCATATATGTCTACTTTCAATTAATCAGACATTATATCTAAAGGATGCAATTATAAAAACAGTTAAGCGTGTGAATTGGGGCTTTGCATTTGGGAGTTCAAATGTTTGATACCACGTCACGCTGTAATAAATGTGAATTGAAACTTATGAATTGTATTTCTCTGATAGCAGAGGTTTACTGTAATTTTAAAATATAATAAGAAGTCAAAATGTTATATTTCGCCCATAAGGTCCCTTATCTCTGGGTTGGTCACATGTTGTCTGATAATGGAGATGTCCAAAGTGGCAAGAGACCCACAAGGCTTGGTGCACCCATCGTGTAAGTCTTCCAAATACTGGGGGCGGTCGGGTAGCCTAGTGGTTAAAGCGTTCGCTCGTCACGCCGAAGACCCGGGTTCGATTCCCGACATGGGTACAATGTGTGAAGCTCATTTCAGGTGTCCCCCGCCGTGATATTGCTGGAATATTGCTAAAAGCGGCGTAAAACCACACTCACTCACTCACTCCAAATACTGACGAAGCTTTTAGTGAGTTGATGTTTGCTTGATACATCCAGATAGCTTTCATCCCTATTTTGCCTTTTACGCCCAACAGTTTCGCCTGATTAACGAGCTTGTATTGGCTGGCGATGACGTTATACATTTACACTAGTCAGCGATATTTCAGCGACAGTAAAGCAGTTTGTAATAAATCGGGTGTCTTCAGGTACACCTGTGCTTGAAGTGAGTGAGTGAGTATGGTTTTACGCCGCTTTTAGCAATATTTCAGCAATATCACGGCGGGGGACACCAGAAATGGGCTTCACACATTGTACCCATGTTGGGAATCGAACCCGGGTCTTCGGCGTGACGCGCGAACGCTTTAACCACTAGGCTACCCGACCGCCCCCTGTGCTTGAAAGTATAGTGTGATCATCGCTAGTCGTCGCTGGGGAACGTTGCCACAGAATTAGAAAAGTCACCATTGTGATCCACATGATATTGTGGGGCACGGGTGGCCCAGTCGCCCCAATTCGCTGTGCAGAGTTGCGTCCCTTGGGCACGACAGAAACATATGACTTGGGGTTCGAATCCCGGTTTGTCAGCACCATACCCGTGCTCGTGGGTTTCAACAAAGTGGTAAACGACTGAGACCTGTATCACTTCGGGCTTTCCTCCCACATTAAGCTGACACGCCGTGATATAACTCAAAGACTTCAGAAGCGGCGTTAAACCGCGACTGATATTAACTATAGATAATAACTCTTCTTATTTCCGCCTATAATCCTTCACGAAACAAAAGATTATAAATGTGATGGATTGTGAACTTACCCTCTTCAGGTGGTAGTTACTCCTGTATTCGGGCTGTGTTGTAAGAGCTAACTGCATGTCAAAACTGAGCTGGAAACAAAAGCGAAAATATATTGTTTACATACATGTCAAAGTTTAACTGCTCATCTACAAAAGAAGGGGACATTCGTCTATAGCGCCGCAATTCACTGTGAAGAGTTGTCTCCCTTAGACGTGCAAGAATCCTAAGATTATGAGTGAGTTCGAATCCCAGTTTCACTTTGATTGTGTGCCTCATATCCGTGCTCGTCTTTTTCACCAAGGTAGACGCTCAAGGCCTTCGCCATTCCTTGGCTGTTCCAAGTTTAGCCACCATCAAACATGTGTGTGTAACTATCTTTTGCCCGGGAGTGTACTTGTCAAAATCGTACCGCGTCCTAAGTATAATGTGATGAAGCACATATGACTATGGTATCATCGAAATGCCAGACTGTCATGTACCGTGGACCCTGGTTCACAAAGCGATCGTAGCTCTACGACTGTTACGACTAAGTCAGTACTAGTCCTATTTTTGTTTGTTTAACGCCACACTCAGCAATATTCACGCTATATGTTTGTTTGTTCAATAACGCCGCACTTAACAATTTTCCATCTACGGGAAGGCGGTCTGAAAATAATCGATCCTGGACCAGGCAATCCAATGATTGACATCATGAGTATCGGTCCACGTAATTGGGATACGATCACATGCATCAACCATGTCAGCGAGCCTGACCACTCGATCCCGTTAGTCGCCTCTTACGACAAGCATGGGTTGCTGAAGGCCTATTCTACTCCGGATCTTTACGGGTCACTAGAGATAGTACTAGGATTGATTCGTGGAACCTGGGGGAGAGGGGGAACGGGGGGCCCAGTCGTCTACAGAAACCTATGATTGTGGGTTCGAATCCCGGTTCGTCCCGATTATGTTTCTAGGTTTGTCAGCACCATACCCGTGCTCGTGGGTTTCACCGAAGTGGTAAACGTCTGATATCTGCATCACTTCGGGCTTTCCTCCCACATTTAGCTGACACGCCGCGATATAACTGGAATACTGTTAAAAGCGGCGTTAAACCCAACTCACTCACTCACTCGTGGAACCTGGGACTGTTACTTACACTAGACTTGAACGCTGTTTTCGGTTGGCCATTAGTGGCCTGTTTCCGTCGCATTCGTCTGAGAACTGAAGTGGACACTTCCGGGTCATTCTCGTTAAAATGTCTGCAAATGAAACGGCGAAGAATGTCAAAGTCTATTCGGAACAGATGACCTGGCATTATTGCTGTGTGTTAACTGAAGTCTTCAGGCAAAACCATGCGAAAACAACCAAATCACAACACGTATAAATACTATTACAACAGGTAACATCACCTTATTGAATAAAAGCGTATTTGAATATGTGAATACGCCTCATCTCCATGGGTATATTGCTCTTTCATCCACTCTATATATAACCAGAAGAGGGGTCTTGCGATATGGCGTAATAGCATCTCACTGTCGCTTCATATCTCTTCGGGCGGTCGGGTAGCCTAGTGGTTTAAGCGTTCGCTCGTCCCGCCGAAGACCCGGGTTCGATTCCCGACATGGGTACAATGTGTGAAGCCCATATCTGGTGTCCCTCGCCGCGATACTGCTGGAACATTGCTAAAAGCGGCGTAAAACCATACTCACTCTCACTCATATCTCTTCATCCCTTCATACCCTTCGTCATCTCCCTCCCCCTCTTTCTCTCCCATCCCCCCTCTCTCTTTTTCTCTGTGTGTCTCTCTCTACCTCTCTCGCTCTCTCTGTCTCTTCCCCCTCTCTCTGTCTCTCTCTCTCGTTTTCTCCTTCCTTTCTCTCTCTTACTATCCCCCCCCTCTCTCACTTCTGTGTTTTGGTCTTCCTCAATCGACCATGCATTCATAAATATTTGATACACAACACTATACACCAGAGGTAAAGGAAAGGATTGTAAAATGAAGACATCCATCGATACCAAAAGGCCAGAAGACCTGAAGCAACACCTGACCTAAATACGTCACAATGGAATCCCTTTCTGCACAATAGACGGTGTTATAACCACAAGAAAACCAAAATGACGCTTAAAATAACGAAAGGCTCGTTTGTGGATTAAGCGCTTTATATACGAGCTCAGTAGCTTCTTTTATCTAGACTACAACGCGAATCCCATAACAGTACATACGTACCTCCTCCTGGGCACGGCTGACCGTGCTATCAGCCCCACCATATTGACGGCATAGGCCAAGCGATCCTGGGGCTGCAAACACATACACGTCTTCATTGGAATAGAATTCCAAACCAAACAATCCAGTGATTGATATCATGAACATCGATCCTAGCAATTGAATAGCGTTGTTATTAGTGAGTAAGTTTGTGAGTGAATATTTATAGTCACATCGGCAAAATTGCAGCCATATCATGACTAGATCAAGTTATACAGTATTAAAGCATACAGTTTGATCATAAAAAACAAGGGACAGTAAAACAACTGGATTATCACAGATCTATATCGTTTTGTTATTAGCACACGGGGTAGGTAGTACTTCGCCTTCACATAACGTATTGTGAAACACGTTTCCACACTCACTTACCCGCCATCCTTTGCGTCTCTCCTCCCGTATCTTCTGCGCGTCTGTATTTGTCACCTTCTGAAACATATATTTAGATCAGGTGTTAATGTATGTCTTCAAGCCTTTTCATATCGATCGATGGCTTCCTTTAAATCTCTAAATCATCACGAGGCACGTGTGGCCCACTGGCCTAAGAGACGTCCCTTGCGCTTGCAAAAAGCCTATGATTGTGAGTTCGAATCCCAGGTTCTCAATGATAAGGTTTCTAGGTTTGTTAGCACAAAGTGGGTTTCACCATAGTGGTAAACGTCTAAGACCTGTATCACTTCGGGCCTTCCTCCCACGGCTGACAAGCTGCGATATAACTGATATAACTTCAGTGCGGCGAAAAACCAAAGTCAGTCACTTCGGGCCTTCCTCCCACGGCTGACAAGCTGCGATATAACTGATATAACTTCAGTGCGGCGAAAAACCAAAGTCAGTCACTCGAAATCTAAGACGCGCACCTGTACAGAGTGGTTGATGCATGTCATCAATCCCAATTGCGTACATCGATGCTCATGATATTAATCACTGGATTGTCTGGTCCAGACTCGATTATTTACAGACCGCCTTCATATGGCTGGAATATTGCTGAGTGCGGCGTTAAACAACAAACAAACAACCAACGATCAAGCACGCAAAATTACCAAGGTTTCATTAGTAGGTTCACATGACGTCAGATTAACAAGGCTTAGATCGGACGATAAAGTGCTGTTGTACTTTGATGTGCGGCGCCTATCCAGCCAACAGCCTGAACACATCTCCAGGTGATACATGTTCAAAGTCTTGTGTACACGTCATAAATCATGAGGAGATTACGTCCTATGGTTGTCAACTGGGACATGGCTAAATCAAACAGTATAATTGTAATGTCATCTTGAATGGAATGTGTACAATAAACACATATGCTTGCGTGCTTGCGTGCTTGCGTGCTTGCGTGTGTATTCTTCCCGTAATAGTGGGGGGCACGGGTGGCCCAGTCGTCTAAGACGCCGCGATTCGCTGTGCAGAGTTGCGTCCCTTTGGCACGCCAGAAACCTATGATTTTGGGTTCGAATCCCGGTTCTCCCCGATTATGTTTCTAGGTTTGTCAGCACCATACCCGTGCTCGTGGGTTTCACCGAAGTGGTAAACGTCTGAGACCTGCATCACTTCGGGCTTTCCTCCCACATTAAGCTAACACGCTGTGATATAACTTGAAAAATGTTAAAAGCGGCGTTAAACCCAACTCACTCACTGTAATAGTGACTTTGATTCCATATCAACAGTTTTTGTTTCCCGTCACCGACCGACCCGGAATATTAAAAACCTAATGCATTCTTAATCCGGTTCCGCATTCAAAATGTTTGAAGTTTTTTGTCGTAAACCTTCATGGTAAAAAGTCATTGCATTCCTGATATATTTTCTAACAGAAGCCACATTGACCTATTTACTACTTAACTACATCTTTGTTTTCATTTAGCACGATTGTGAATACGTTCGGAGTCGTTCAGAAAAAAACAAAAAACAAACCATAATTAGACCTACCAATCCCTATATTTTTTAAGCGACGAGAAACGAGAACCTCTTAGTGAGTGAGTGAGTATGATTTTACGCCGCTGTAAGCAATATTCCAGCAATATCACGGCGGGGACACCAGAAATGGGCATCATACATTGTACCCATGTCGGTAATCGAACCCGGGTCGTCGGCGTGACGAGCGAACGCTTTAACCACCAGGCTACCCGACCGCCCCTCGAACTTCTTAGTAGATCACCGGAGTGGGCAACAGTAATCAAAGCAGCCATGCTGTCGTATAGTCAGGTTGTGAAGTTAACTGTCCATCACGCAATATTTACCCATGCAGATCAGCCCAGGGACTGCTATTAATTGATTAATGAAGATAACAGCTAATAATAACTCACTGAGAATATTAAGATGAATCAGGCGTGAAGATAATACAATCTGACCAGCAGAAGCAGCGAGGTAAAGACTATTGTGAATTGTAGTGTTAAACGAGATGGAGAGTAAGTAAATGCGTTGCTGATGAGGTGAACTCAGGTCAGCTAACAACAGCACGAAATGATCGTGTTGTTCTACACACACGTACCCGTATGTAGGACACCGATCACGTGCGGATTTCGAGGATGATGGTGAGGTGAGGTGAAATGGGGTTTAACGTCGCGTCCAAGATTATTGCACTTATATAGCGACGTGCATGTACGTGTGTGTGTGTGTGTGTGTGGCTGCTTGTACTAGACCGGACTGATGCCGATTTATAGTGCTAGCTCACTGAGATACCATGCCGTAGTTTAACATGAATACCCCACTTGCAGTATACTGACTCCGAGCAGACCAGTCCTTGTTTTAGCCCCTTAATGCCGAGCGCCAGACAGGGTAACAACAAGTACCATCTTTTAACGTCTTTTGGTATGACGCGGCTGGGGATTGAACCCCGAACCTTCCGCTCTCCGGGCGGACGCTCTACCATTAGACCACGGAGGCGGTCGAGGATGATGGGCTGAACACGTTGACCCTGACCTTGGCGCATCCTCGATAATGCAGTATATGTGTATGTATTTCTGTTATGATGAATGCCGTATTGCCTCTAAAAGACGCTCTCGTATTTTTCGGATGTAATAATAACTAAGCGTTGACTGACCGATGATCGGGCATTCACCAAATCATTCGCGTTGCATAATTGAATTTTGCCAGAACCAAAATAACGTTAGTCTCCGTTATGGCATGAGAACGAGAGGTGCTAGGACATATTTCATCATGTATCAAGTCAGTCACATACCCGTTACTACTTAGCTCTTTGTCGGAATAAATGAGAAGCATATCTCATCTATAGTTCTCGTCAATTGAAACAGAATCACGAAGTATCGTGACGGTTAATTAACGAAGATAGCTGCATGTGTGCTAATACTTATAATAAAAAAACAAGTAATTCCGGCGGAAGGAAAAAACCTGCAGACTGCGCTTTTACGAAAATATCCATTTTGCTAGCGATAAACATCATCATTGTGTTTTCATCACATAACCTATACAGTAGGATATCTCTCATGAGAGACACCTGTGAAGATCCGGGTTAGAATTGGTCTTCAGCAACCTATGCTTGCGACTATATTTATCGAACCACAAAACCGCTGTCGGGATATTTAGCGACTGACAACGTCGTTATCGGGATACTTATCGAACCAAAAAACATTTATCGGGATATTTATAGAATGACAAAACCGTTACCGGGATAATTATCGAATAAAAACATCGTTATCGGGGTATTTATCGAATAAAAACATCGTTATCGGGGTATTTATCGAATTACAACATCGTTATCGGGGTATTTATCGAATAACAACATCGTTATCGGGATATTTATCGAATTACAATATCGTTATCGGGGTATTTATCGAATTACAACATCGTTATCGGGGTATTTATCGAATTACAACATCGTTATCGGGGTATTTATCGAATAACAACATCGTTATCGGGGTATTTATCGAATTACAACATCGTTATCGGGGTATTTACCGAATTACATCATTGTTTTCGGGATATTTATGGAAGCGTCACACTTTGGTCAAAATATACATTTGATCAGGCTATTTATCGAACCACAAAACCGTTATCGGGATAGTTATCGAATAATAACGTCATCAGTACATTTATCAAATTAAAACACATTTATCGGGATATGTATCGAATGACAACTTCGTTATCAGGATAATTATGGAACCGTAACACCGTTTTCAAAATATTTGATCGGGATAATTATCGAAAAGCTACAACATTACGTGGATAATTATCGAACAGGTTCAATGATATCGGCATATCGAACTTGGACATTGCTACCATTTTATAGACATGTGTATAGAACAGTTGCAATGACATCGGAATATGCAGCGAATCAGAACCTTGGTAAGCATACAATATCGATAAAATGTAGATTGGATAGTTTAAAGTCTTGACTTACAGTTCCTAAATCTTGTTTTTTCGAATTTACCAAAAAAACATTCACAATCAAAGACGGTGTGTTAAAGTGCAGGTATTTATTTGTCAGATGACGTCACAACCCAGCAGCGTTGTGTACAGTGTCAGGTGTCTTCCCCTATACCGCGGTGGTATTCCCCCGTTATATCGCGCTATCGGAAACTATCAGCATAACAACAACTTAAGGTTTTTGTCTCCATTGATCTCCCAGGGTTTGTCTTGCATTCAACGTGATAAATGAATCGGGAATAAGCTCATTAATATAAGCCGACGCTAGTCCTTGATAATGCCTTGCGAAACCAATAGCTCGTTTTTTCATGCCTGCTTGTTGTCGGGGAATGTTGAAGACTTAACCTTTTCATGGGTTCTCGCTTGATTGAGGGACGCTAGTGAGACTGGAGAAGGGTGTTGGGGGTGTTTAGTAAGTGAGTGAGTGAGTACAGTCTTACGCCGCTTTTAGCAATATTCCAGCAATATCACGACGGGGGACACCACAAATGGGCTTCACACATTGTACCCATGTCGGGAATCGAACCCGGGTCTTCGGCGTGACGAGCGAACACTTTAACCACTAGGCTACCCGACCGCCCCGTTTAGTAAGTGACTAGGTGAGTTAGTTAGTGAGTGAGTGAGAATGAGTGAGTATGGTTTTAAGCCGTTTTTAGCTATATTCTAGCAATTTACGGCACGTAACACCAGAAATGGGCTTCAGACAATTTACTCATGTGGGGAATCGAACCCGTGTCTTAGGCGTGACGAGAACGCTTTAACCACTAGGCTACCCCACCGCGCCAAGGTCTCTTAATGCATAGTCACAAGGCAGGGTATCAGAAACATGCTCTAAATAAACACTAGGTAGTCACGTGGGTGAAGTGTTGGTTATACACGCAGAAGACCCGGGTTCGTTTCCCAAGATTGGTACAGTGTGTAACTACCAACTCTCCCTCTTATTGAATTGCGGGGACACGGGTGGCCCAGTCGTCTAAGGCGCCGCGATTCGCTGTGCAGAGTTGCGTCCCTTGGGCACGCCAGAAACCTATGATTTTGGGTTCGAATCCCGGTTCGCCCCGATTATGTTTCTAGGTTTGTCAGCACCATACCCGTGCTCGTGGGTTTCACCGAAGTGGTAAACGTCTGAGACCTGCATCACTTCGGGCTTTCCTCCAGCATTAAGCTGACACGCCGTAATATAATTGGAATACTGTTAAAAGCGGCGTAAAACCAAACTCACTCACTCACTCTTATTGAATTGCACATATATTGCTACCCCTGTAATTCTGTATAAATATACATGCATGCTCGTCAAAGATGTTTTGTATATATTCTATACTTATATGTATATGTATTAATTTGCTGAAATAATTTTGTACCTCTGATGCCGCTGATAGCGGCCTGAGTGTAAATCAAAGTTCAGTTCAGTAAAGCCTGTTTCTGGGGATGTTGCGGGAATATTGCTGAAAGCACTCACTCTCACACTAAAACATTACATCAGGAAGGCACGTGATAGATAATTAATTTCACACTTTTTCTAGCTTAAGTAATACTATACACATGATATTGTTTGTTCATATTATTTCGTCACTACATTTTTACTTGTGCAAGTATGTGCCTATTAAAGTGAAAAAAGCACTAATATTTAAGGAATATTCTTCTAAATTTACAAAAATATTGATGATAACCTTCAAATATATGCCAAACTGTATACCATTTAAAGGTATGTATAATTTGAAAACTATCACAAAATGTATGTTTAAAATGACCGATTACATTGGATAAAAATGGAAAATAAAGTTCACTTAATTAAAGATTAAAGTTCACTAATATTTGAGGATTACTCATTAATTCTAGAAATATGAGGTTGATGGGAATTCTAAACTTGTTTTGCAAGCTTTGAAGTGTTATGTTAAATTTCAGAAAATCAGAACTTATAACCATGACACTAATGATTTAAATGGTACATTTTATAAGAAAACAAACCGCATGTGGAGAAGAGAACGTTTATCAAAATATTACAAAATTCACCAATATCCGATGACGTATGAAACAATAAAACCGGTGATTTATATCTTTCGTAAATGCTGTGTTGTTTTCGTAAAAATACAATAATATAATTCTTGTTACATAATATATTTTTGTTGTTGCTTTCGTTGGATAACTTCAATAACAACACTGTTCATCGGCATAGATTTATTCTTTCTGAATATAAAAAATGTACCAAAACGCACCCTTTAATTGTCTAAAGGAACCATCCAAATTCTGAGTGAGTGAGTGAGTTGGGTTTAACGCCGCTTTTAACAGTATTCCAGTCATATCACGGCGTGTCAGCTTAATGTGGGAGGAAAGCCCGAAGTGATGCAGGTCTTAGACGTTTACCACTTTGATGAAACCCACGAGCACGGGTATGGTGCTGACAAACCTAGAAACATAATCGGGGCGAATCGGGATTCGAACCCACAATCATAGGTTTCTGGCGTGCCTAAGGCACGCAACTCTGCAGAGCGAATCGCGGCGCCTTAGACGACACCCGTGCCCCCTCCAAATTCTGAAGAAACATATTGTCCCTTCTCACCCAACCAGCCGTTTCGCCAAGGTCGAATTCTGACCGCACGTTATGTACACAAAATACCACATACCCCAGGACCTACATTGTACTATGGTGTTATACCTCAGATGATCAGCTGATTGGCAGGGCCAATCACTAATCAATCAGATATTGATTATACGTTTTCCGAACCATTCATTTCCTAAAGGTTGGACAGGGCAGTGGTAGATAGCACCGAGCCATATAATCTGACAGTCACCCCAGACAGAGTTGATCTGATTTGTATTAAGCGCTTATCGTTAGCAGATTAAAGGATTAGTAATATCCACAACCTGGAACCTTGTATTTACACTTACATATTTGGTAAATTCGAGATATTACAATAATAATAATTCAGGTTTTCGTCATATGCATCAGTTCAAAGAGGTGTTGGAGTGTCATCGAAAATGAAACATTTAAAATCGGTAACACAGTGTACAGGCGTGTACACTTTGTCTTATAATTGATATAATTGTTAAAAAATATGATGTCGGATTTTTTTATTGACATCATCATGCAAATGATACACGCAGTGATAACATATATTAATAATCGGGTCAGTTATTAATGTCAATGTATTTTAGTGTATGATGTCAATAGTGTTTAATTTTTTTTCAAAACTAAATTTATTAACTTCAAAAATAGAAGAAAACACACGACTATCAGTCTACTTATAATCGGTGTCTTCCTTAAATGTTTCAGGGGCGATTAAAGTAGGCCATGGTTGAAGTGTTTGCTCATCACGTCGAAAATCTGGGTTCGAATCTCTACATGATTTTTGCCAAAGCGGCGTAAACCTTAATCACTAACCCGTTTGCAGATAGAACATGTCACCTTGCGTAGGCTTGGATACATACAGCGCTTTTATAAATATCCCACTATGGGGGACACCACAATGGCTTTAATACATTGTACCAATAAAGATTCAACCTGGTTCTTTGGCGTGACGTGCGAACGCTTTCCCAACAAGGGTACCCGACAGTCTTCAACCAGGATGCATCTTGCGGACGTTAAAAGAAAATCGTACTCACCAGTATTCTTTCCATCTGCTGAGGATCCAAGTCCTTGATGAAGCTGGACATCTCAGCCCGTGGCTTGACCATCGCTTGGATCTCCGCCAGACGGTGGTTTATGTTCTCGATAGGGTCCTCATCTGGAAGATAGATAGCCACTCTCCGTTTTAAGGAGTCAAACTTCTTATACTGCCTTTCCTCAGCTTCTTTCAGCATCCAGTTGTGCTCCACCTCAAACTCAGCAGCCCTCTCGGCTCGTCGTCGGCCACCCTCCGCGGTGTCGTCTTCGTAAGACGCTGTTGACTCCGTCGCCCCGAACTCACTGAACTTCTCTTCCATCTCCCCAGCTCCAGCATATAACGCGTGGCCATAGCTTCCCTTCTCACCTCCACCCTCAAAAGATATACCTCCAAGATCCAAGGATTTTAAATTGGAACTGCTTAAAGAAACTCTATTGACCGATCCCTGTCGTTTAATCAAAGGTAACGTGAACTCGCGGTCTTGTAGAGTCGCCATGGCTTGGTGTCTGTTCTCCCTGAAGGGTTCGGTATCCAATGACGAACCGTTTGACTGGGTCAGCTCGCTGTTGTATTACGTATATCTAATCTACACAACAACGGCGTTTCACGGACAAATCGGGCGTAATAACACATAGGATTAATCAAGTCCGGGTATTATTAATCAGGGCTCGATTTCTCTGCACCGTTCGTCCACGTGCTGTGATTGTTACCCTGAGACATGTAACGTGATTTGTACCTGGTCCAACACGAGGGAGGCGACACGGGATTCAAGTAACTGTTATTGTTTCGCGCCGCCGGTTCAGCGCATATTGATCTTAATCAGTCACACGTAACGCTCAGGATTGTCTTTGAAGACGGGTCCCAGTCTTTCGTGCCGTCAGGCAAGGGATTGTCACACGCAGGTGCAGTTTTGTATGTCCATCACGTCCAGATGACCAGACAGTGGACACACCTTCACCGGTCACAGGTGTGCCCAAGTTCATTAACGCTCTGTACAACACGCCTCTCACCTGTGCAACAGGTATCTACAGGTAAAAACAGGTAACTTCAGACAACCCTTCTTTACAATGTCTCACGTAATAAATCGTAAAGAAATATATCCACAACTGAATGTTTTCGTCCAAGGTGTGACCTGGTTCATTAACACTTTGTACAACACGCCTCTCACCTGTGCAACAGGTATCTACAGGTAACAACAGGTAACTTCAGACAACCGATCTATTATCCCCCACGAATATATAGCAAATTATAAAAATCCATTTCTGAGTGTTTTCCTCATCGGTTTGACCCGGTTCCTTAACGCTCTGTTCAACACGCCTCTCACCTGTTGATTACAGGTAACAATTGGCTGCTTGACATAACGCTTCTAAATCCCCTCACACGTAATATATCGTATAGAATAATAAACTACTTATGGATGTTTTTTGTCCTAGGTGTGACCAAGTTCATTAGCACTCTGCACAGTCCGCCTCTCACGTGCACATCACAGGAAACAACCGGTAACTTGAGATGACGCTTGTATATTCTCTCTCATGTTTTATATCGTATTGAATAATAATCCACTGGTGAATGTTTTATGAGATCTATGATTGACTTGCGTGTTCCTCCAGTGTCGTGATTGAGAAACCCACTGGAAACCTGCTGTAAGGAATTGGGACAAAGTTTTACGACAACATAAATACACGTTTGATCAAATTGCAAGCAACGCCAGTAAGATTACATCGAGCATATTTATCTGGGACAATTTTGAATGCATTGTAAAACAATATTATATGAAAGAATCTTCGCATGCCAACAATGAGCAGGAAAGCAAACAAAAGACTGTCATAAAGATTGAACTGGCCCTGGCAAGGAGAATATTGTGTTTTTGTATGCCTTACAAAGAGGGCAAGAAAAACTAAAGATGTGTAAGTGGCATGGCAGCAGATAACATGAAGACTAGGACATCGAAGAGGCAGGAACGTAACACTGTGGGTTTAAATGGGGAGTCAAACAGAGCAGAAAGGGTCTGGTCCTTCTAAACCGAGGAAGGAGAGAATGTGATGTACCGGGTAGGTTTTGTATGCGAGGTTCTCGTTTAATTCTGGGAGTGTTGAGTATGTCTTTGAGGTGAGGTGAGGTGAGGTGAGGTGAAATGGGGTTTAACGTCGCGTCCAAGATTATTGCACTTATATAGCGACGTGTATGTACGTGTGTGTGTGTGTGTATGCGTGTTTGTGTGTGTGTGCGTGCGGCTGCTTGTACTAGTCCGGACTAATGCCGATTTATAGTGCTAGCCCACTGAGATACCATGCCGCAGTTTAACATGAATACCCCACTCAGACACAGTATACTGACTCCGAGCCGACCAGTCCTTGTTTTAGCCCCTTTAATGCCCAGCGCCAGACAGGGTAACAACAAGTACCATCTTTTAACGTCTTTTCGAACCCCGGACCTTCCGCTCTCCGGGCGGACGCTCTACCACTGGACCACAGAGGCGGTCGAATATGTCTTTGAGAACTCCCGAAGTAGGAGAATAGACTATCTGTGGGCTCCGGTACCGTGAACATGAATAGCGGATACTTTGGTTAAGGATGTGGGCGTGTTGAGTGAGTGAGTGAGTGAGTGAGTGCGTATGGTTTTACGCCGCTTTTAGCAATATTCCAGCAATATCACGGCGGGGGACACCAGAAATGGGTTTCACACAATGTAGCCACGTCGGGAATCGAACCTGGGTCTTCGCCGTGATGAGCGAACGCGTTAACCACTAGGCTACCAGACCGTCCCTCGTGTTGAGGGTCCGGGTAAAGAGATGGTAAAATGATCTCCACGGTTCGTTATCTTGAATTATCAGAAGTGGAGGCTGTCTTAGAAAGATCAGATCTTGGATATTACAAGGGTTGAGATCCTAATTAAAAAGTAAGGGACTGGTTGATGTGCTGGACGGGGAGGTCTGATCATGGGGATATTTAGTCCGAGTTCCAAGATTTAGGGAGAAAACGATGTTCAGGGTTTGGTCTTTGAATTAATGGTAGTAGAGGGTGTCGTAGACAAGCAGACCTAATCTAGGAGCTTTTTAGGGCCCGAGGTCCAATTATTGGAAGAGGGCATCGTATGAAAAGGCAAACGTAATCTTGGCGCTTTTTAGGGTCCGAGCCCTAATCATTGAAAGAAGAGGATGTCTTGGTCAAGAAGACCTTATCTTGGAGTTTCTGGTGTCCGAACTTCTGAACTATGGGGTAGAGGATATCTATTGTTCGGACTCCTGATCTGAAGGAATAGAGGATATCTATGGTTTAGGATCCTGACCTGAGAGTGGAGAAGATATATATGCTCCGGAATCTTGACCTGAGGGAGGAGAAGATATATATGGTCTTGAATCTTGACCTGGGAGAGAAGATTTCTATGGTCCGGAGTCCTAAACTAAGGGAGAATATATCTATGGTCCGGATTCCTAAACTGAGAGAGAAGATATCTATGGTCCGGAGTCCTAAACTAAGGGAGAATATATCTATGGTCCGGAGTCCTAAACTTGCTGCCACATGGACACTTAGGACATAGGTGTAAACGGAATGGGTGAGAAATGATTAAACACAATGGGGTCCATTTCACATGTTCCAGCCAATAGTCCCCCCACACTGACACAATACACCCATTACTGAACACAAAGCTGCGTAAATGCGAGCACTCTGACACATCTCGGCACGGAGCAAATGGGAGCACTCTGACACACCTCGGCACAGAGTAAATGGGAGCACTCTGACACACCTCGGCACAGAGTAAATGGGAGCACTCTGACACACCTCGGCACAGAGTAAATGGGAGCACTCTGACACACCTCGGCACAGAGTAAATGGGAGCACTCTGACACACCTCGGCACAGAGTAAATGGGAGCACTCTGACACACCTCGGCACAGAGTAAATGGGAGCACTCTGACACATCTCGGCACAGAGTAAATGGGAGCACTCTGACACACCTCGGCACAGAGTAAATGCGAGCACTCTGACACACCTCGGCACAGAGGAGGTCTGTTACTGGAGGTTGCATGGGGCATGACCTTGTCTTAGCAACTTTTGGAATAAACAACAACAACAATGATGCAAAACATTTACTTCATACGACAATCTAGTATGTTGTAGATGTCCATGGCAACCAGAACGTCAACAGACTTTCACAATGATTTGACACTGGTGATGACAAAAATAAACCTCGCCCTGAGACCATTAGTGGCAAGTGGTAATGTTTTTTTGACACAGTTATGTAGTTTTAGTCATTGCATTGAAACTAAGTGCAATCAGCGTGACAGGGGTGGGTAATTGACACACAAGCGTGTAGGTGGCACTCCAGGAGACCAACAGCTTGACTGGCTCTGCCTAATACACTTGTCGTAAATCTGAAAGAGTGACTGTAATTTATGTTCTGAGATGGGATTTGGTCTGATGGTTCCGCGAACGACCCTCAACACACGACGTACTTATTTTGAAGCCAGTGATTACTTAATGTAGGTGTATTGTAGACTTGAGATCCAGTTTCCTTCACTGCAATGGGGCACTGTTCCTTATACTCGGCGGGAGTGCGATTAAAGAACAATTTAACATGAGTCTATTTAAGGACGATACAACCAGACTATAGCCAGTGGGCCGTTTGAAATTGATTTTGCACGTCAATAGGACGACGGCAACAAATAATCTCACTTTTGATTAATAGTTTCAACATAACCATAAAATCTATAGTTTTTGTTGGACGATGAGACATAAAAAATGTACACTGGCGTACGTTTTCATTACCGGAGTAAATTACACTACACTTCATGCAAGCAGTGACGTCAGGGACGTTGTCCCGTTAGCACGGCTCTGCGCTATTGGGTTGATTCTGTTGTGGTTTGTGGGGCAAAACGATCGTAAATAACGTTTTACGGTTCCATGACTGATAGAAACATTTGAAACGTCTCAGATGAAATCAATATCGATAACTTGGTAATGAAATAATCAATTATGTACTGTCCTTATAAAAATTCATGAAATCGACTGCTGTGTGTGCGTGTGCGTGTGCGTGTGTGTGTGCGTGTGCGCGTGCGTGTACGTGAGTGTATGTTTTTATGTGGCGCTATTATATAGACTAACACTTTTATATAACGGTACTGCGAGCGGTTACCACGCAACTGTAGCCCTGTTAACAAACTAAGACATAATTTAACCCGAACAAATCATCAAATGAAGTAAGTAAACAAGTACACATGAATAATTAAACAACACCCACTCAACAAATAATCCAAAGAATGGATAGACAGATAGACAGACAGACACACATACAGACAGACAGACACACACATATACAGACAGCCATATAGATAGATAGCTAGATAGCTAGATATAGACAGGCAGACAGATAGATACATCGAAAGATAGAAAGGTAGACAGCTAGGTAGATAGATAGACAGCTGGGTAGATAGATAGATAGATAGATAGATATGCGGTACCTAAAAGATAGACAGACAGACAGGATAGATAGATATATAGTTAGATAGATAGATAGATAGATAGATAGGCTGTACCTAAAAGATAGACAGACAGACAGGATAGATAGATAGATACAAAGGTAGACAGCTAGGTGGATAGATAGACAGGTAGATAGATAGATAGATAGATAGATAGATAGGCGGTACCTTAAAGATAGACAGACAGACAGACATGATAGATAGACAGACAGACAGACAGACAGACAGATAGATAGATAGATAGATAGATAGATGGTACCTAACCAGCAGGAGATCCTCCCTCACGATAAGTATCCTCCTCAGTTTCTTGTCCTCAGGAATGAAAACCACACACACCACCAACAGTTTACCCTACCTCTTCCCTCTTCATCCAGAGGACCTAACTAAACTAGAATTAGTAAAACATGACACTGCCCTGCGATGATCGAAGTGACTGGCTCGGCTGATTGCCCGGCAACATGGCCACCAAGTGAGACATGCGACGTCTGCTGCCTCTCACAGCAGACGACAGGCAACGGGATCACCCGCGTCTCCGTGTGGCCAATAATGACTCGGAACAGCACAACGCTGTCTCAGCTGGGACATTGACGGCTTCATGCCTGGGAAGCGTGGTCGTCGGCGTGACTACATTGACACGCACCTGCTAGTCTGAAGGATTATATGAAGTCGTGTGGTTTTCAATATTATTGACTTCCAGCAGTTGAACCAGAAATGATAGCTTCTAGATACGGTAGTGGTGGATGGCGTACCGGTTAATGCGTTCGATCGTATCTCATGAGACTACGTTCGACTTTCTCAGTATAATAACATTTGAAGACCATTGTTAGTGTCACCTTAATATTCCTGTACTGAACTATTCGCGCTACTGAGTTACGTCCCTTAGACGTGCCAGGAACCTCAGATCGTGGGTATTGATGATGAGGATGATCTTAGTTTGGCTTCCCCAAAGTGGTATTCGCCCACCGCCTATATCATTTTGGTATTTCCTTCAACATGAAGCTGGCACGTCGTGATATAACTGAAATTTTGTTCAAAGTGGAGTTAAAATTTAACCACTCTCATTTTCCTATACTGGACATAGGGTAGCCTAGCGGTTAAAGCGTTCGCTTGTCACGCCGAAGACCCGGGTTCGAATCCCGGCATGGGTACAATGTGTGAAGCCCGTTTCTGGTGTCCCCCGCCGTGATATTGCTGGAATATTGCTAAAATCGGCGTAAAACCATACTCACTCACTATACTGGACATAGAAACGCGTGTCCTATGCGCTTACACACTATATATAGACTCCATGGCAGTTGAGTGCGAGTCTGTCTACCCATCCCAACACGAGCAAAATCAGTTGTGTGCAAAAACACAATTACATGCTGGACTATCTGTCCAGTTAATCTATTGTCTGCGAGAGGTGGCCATCTTTACATTATCAACTCCACACGCGATGTCAGGAATTCCCCCACACCTCTAAAATATTAATGGCAAGAAGACGAGTCTGCCTAATGGACCGTTTGTCATAGACTGTACACCCAGGATCCTCTCCAAGAAGCAGTCAGTTGTGACCCGGGGGCAATTGGTTTCAGAATGGAAGATGCACTCAGTCGTGGGATGGGGTACAGAAACAGGATATGAATCATGGGATGAGTTCTTCATTTCTATTGGAGGATGACTGGTCCTTCATCACACTATACCGCACAGAAAGCGTCGTTAGTCCTGGAGCAACGTAATGTATTCAAAGCCAAGAAGTAGTGGTTTTTTTTGGTTAACGCCGCACTCATCAATAGTCCAGCTATATGACATCGGTCTGTAAATAATCGAGTCTGGACCAGAGAATCCAGTGATTGGTATAATATTGGTATAATGAGGATCGATCTACGCAATTGGAATACGATGACATGCATCAACCAAGTCAGCAAGCCTGACCACTCGATCCTTAGTTGCCTCTTACGGCAAGCATGGGTTGCTGAAGACCTATTCTAACCCTGATCTTCATGGGAAGTAGTGACGACGTACCGAAAGGGAATATGGCAGTTTTAAACAAATGCTTATTTTGTTTTGTACGTGTGCCAGTGTGATATTCAGAATTAATGGATCTTTGAAAAATAAGTATGAAATTTCCATACGCAGTCAAGGGATCAGACCCCGAGACTTGACTGATTTCTTGTCATACTCCCTTACGGCGTGGACTGTTGCTCATAATATCAATCAATGGTTTGTCTGGTCCAGACTCGATTATTTACAGGCCTCCGTCATTTAACGGGAAATAACGCGGAACTTCGCGTCAAACAACGAGAAAACAAACAACAAACTGCATACGATTGTAGGTTCATGTCACAACTATACCATGGTTACGTCAAAGTGCTACATCTATAAGAGAGTCATACATAAACGATATCTCAGCAGTAACCTGGCTATATCAAAGGTATATCTCAACGATAGCATAGCTAAATGAACGCTACATTAAATTTGTCTGGCGGCTCTATCCTAAATCCATCATGACAACAGCCCAAGTGTGACAAGAGCTAGTGGTTGATAGTGTGAAGAGCAGCCTCCTCCCTGATGGTAAAACAAACACCACTTACCTAAGAAGGCCTATCGTTGCCACTTTGGTAGCAAATATATTGTTTTAAATCGAATTTGTTTATTTTCTCGAAATATCGAGTTTTTTTCTTGAGAAAATAACCGAAATAACGAGAAAATAATCGAAGCAGCGAGAAAAAATTCGATTTTCTTTTAGATAAACTTGAAATAACGAAAAAATATTAAAAGTACCGAGAAAAAGTCGTTATATCGTGAAACAATTTAAATAACGAGAAAATAACAGAAGTATCGGAAAAAAAGTCACGAAAAAGAACTCGAAATTTCGATTAAAAACATATATTAATGCCACCATTAGGCTTTCGTACTTATCAATTCTTCGCCAAATGAACAAAAAAAATGTAGTTTCGTAAACCACACACTGAACAATCAATGTATATGCATAAATAGACATATTCAATACTTAATACGCTTGGACAAATGCGGACAACACAAGCAGTAAGAGCGTCAGTAAAATCCCGGCTGTGCCTGAAACCATATCTCATGCACGACAGGCATCCAGTACAATATGTTCCATTCAATGCGACGTGATATTCAGTACGATTAGTTCCTCCGCCCATATAAGTGCCATTACACGACTTCAAGTGTCCTTTGAACAGTTCGTATTGAGCAAACAAAACCAAATCAGGTGAACTGTTTATGACCCATTTAATGAGAGAGAGTGATTCGGGTAATTCGGCTAATATAATCCTCGAATCACAGGCACGAACAACAAAACACAATTGGTCATATACCTCCATGCCTACACCTCGTTCACTGGCGGAGTACTTCTTTACTAAATGCGAAATCGATAATCGATTTTCGATCAGGCGATTCTTGACAAAAACAAGCGAGCAACGAGAACCACTCAAGCAGTCAACTAAACAGACGGACTTTCTATTATCTGTGTCTGATAGGGTATTAACACGAGGCGGTAACGCTAATGGTGGAGATGTTTGTTCACCTGGCGAGAAGTGACAGAACCGTGGACGTTCACTTGGAGATCCTCTGTTCCCTGTGTTGAAGCCCAACAATACAGGAAGTCCAAGGACAACATTGAAACACAATCATATCGGATCACATAAGGATTTACAAACTAAATCTTTTAAATTTATAAATATTCATATGTAGGGAAGGAACCGCTATTCAAAACATTGAATAAAATTAGTTCATGTAATGTCATGGCATTAGAAACATAATAATAATAATTCTGAGTGTACGAATTATTATAGTTTTGACGCCACTTTTAGCAATAATAAGCTTACTACTACTGCTACTACTACTACTACTACTACTACTACTACTACTGATGGTGTTGCTACTGCTGCTGCTACTAATGATAATAACAACACCAACAACAATAAAGGAGTAATTGAAGCAGTTAAACCCAATTAATAACACGACACAAACATGTATAGTGCAAGACACAACTGTTCACAACACTGAAGCAGTTAAACCCAATTAATAACACGACACAAACATGTATAGTGCAAGACACAACTGTTCACAACACTGAAGCAGTTAAACCCAATTAATAACACGACACAAACATGTATAGTGCAAGACACAACTGTTCACAACACTGAAGCAGTTAAACCCAATTAATAACACGACACAAACATGTATAGTGCAAGACACAACTGTTCACAACACTGAAGCAGTTAAACCCAATTAATAACACGACACAAACATGTATAGTGCAAGACACAACTGTTCACAACACTGAAGCAGTTAAACCCAATTAATAACACGACACAAACATGTATAGTGCAAGACACAACTGTTCACAACACTGAAGCAGTTAAACCCAATTAATAACACGACACAAACATGTATAGTGCAAGACACTACTATTCACAACACTGAAGCAGTTAAACCCAATTAATAACACGACACAAACATGTATAGTGCAAGACACAACTGTTCACAACACTGAAGCAGTTAAACCCAATTAATAACACGACACAAACATGTATAGTGCAAGACACAACTATTCACAACACTGAAACAGTTAAACCCAATTAATAACACGACACAAACATGTATAGTGCAAGACACAACTGTTCACATCACTGAAGCAGTTAAACCCAATTAATAACACGACACAAACATGTATAGTGCAAGACACAACTGTTCACAACACTGAAGCAGTTAAACCCAATTAATAACACGACACAAACATGTATAGTGCAGGACACAACTGTTCACAACACTGAAGCAGTTAAACCCAATTAATAACACGACACAAACATGTATAGTGCAAGACACAACTGTTCACAACACTGAAGCAGTTAAACCCAATTAATAACACGACACAAACATGTATAGTGCAAGACACAACTGTTCACAACACTGAAGCAGTATAACCCAATTAATAACACGACACAAACATGTATAGTGCAAGACACAACTGCTCACAACACTGACGCAGTATAACCCTACTTACTAACACGACAAAAACTTGTATAGTGCAAGACACAACTGTTCACAACACTGAAACAGTATAACCCTACTTAATACCACGACACAACATGTATTGTGCCAGACACAACTGTTCACAACACTGACGCAGTATAACCCTACTTAATACCACGACACAAACATGTATAGTGCCAGACACAACTGTTCACAACACTGAAGCAGTATAACCCTACTTAATAACACGACACAAACATGTATAGTGCCAGACACAACTGTTCACAACACTTAAGCAGTATAACCCTACTTAATAACACGACACAAACATGTATAGTGCAGGACACAACTGTTCACAACACTGAAGCAGTTAAACCCAATTAATAACACGACACAAACATGCATAGTTCAAGACACAACTATTCACAACACTGAAGCAGTTAAACCCAATTAATAACACGACACAAACATGTATAGTGCAAGACACAACTGTTCACAACACTGAAGCAGTTAAACCCAATTAATAACACGACACAA